AATAATCTACTTATATAACATGCTTCAATTTCACATAATATTGAATGCATTAATATTTAACATATTATCATATAATAATGTATATAACATTATTTTATCATATCTCAACTATTAGTATAATATCTACTTATTTATATCTTAAATAGAAACATATAATAAAATCTACGCAAGGAATGAATCTGTCTTAAGATTGTTAGAAAAATATATGCTTAATGTGACTTTTAAGATATAACAACCCTTATACTAATATGTCATGAGATAATTAACAATATGCTAATAAATTATTAATTAAATATGCAACTCTATATTTAATTAAATATGCAAAATAAAGCAATATAATAATAATAATATGCAAAGAATGAACCTGGACCGAGGCTAGTATTGGATACTATGTCCTTAAGACAGATTCGTCCCGCTATGGTGCTAACGGACTCAGTGGCGTCTATCTCCCAGGATACAACGGTCTACATCCACCAGTAGCAGCACTACAAACTCGTGGATACGGCGAACCTCCTCCGTGTAATACTCTCTCTGACTCAAAAATGCATCTATATACTATATAAATGCTGAATTGGGTATAATCCGAACCAAATGGTTCGGACCAATCTTAATATGGCTCGATGAAATTGGATTAGGGTCGAAGTGGCTCGAACCACTTAACCTATGGTTTGAACCCACTTGGGTTGGGTTCCAGTATAGAGAGGGAGATAGAAGAAAATGAAAATGAATTAATTGCAAATGATCCAAAGGGGGGTATTTATAGAAACAGATATACCTTTTCGGATTGGGTGTATCTCTTCATTATTGGACACAACCATTCCAATAGGTTGCAATGGTTCACATGGTGTCTGTTCACCAATAGACACATCCATTCCAATAGGTTGCAATGGTTCACATGGTGTCTTTTCGAGTGGGGTACAACCATGTGTTATGATGGTTCGGAAAAAGGTGTAACCCTTTGAAAAAAAAAACTAAAAAGTGGTTTTTTAATTTAAAAAGTGTAACCCTTTAGAAAAACTAAAATATGGTTTTTTAATTTAAAAGGTGTAACCTTTTAGAAAAACTAAAAAGTAGTTTTTTTTAATTCAAAAAGCCAACCACCCAAAAAACCTACTCATTTGTGAAACCCATTTAAATAAGCCCAGCCCAAAATTAGGCCTAATCCAAAATTCCAAAAAAGAATAATCTGGACTTTACAATTAGGCCCAAGCCCAAATCATAAACTCAGCTTATTTAAATTTCAATTTGTTTCAACATTTTTTTTCCATGTGGGACAAACACTTCCCACATTTTGCATACCCATTTAGGCTTATCAAAACACCACACTTTGGAGCTAATTTCTCGTTCATCCGGAAACGAATTTCAGAAAGTAAATATACCACATTCATCTCCTTACTGAGAGAAACGCGCTTGTCTAGTCTTTCTGTAAAAAATTATTAACGGAATCTATTTCAAATCTCATCCAAAGTTTATGTTTTTAATGCCCCCGTTTCCAACAACGCCATGATTTCCGGAGACTGTAACCCACTCCCAGTACTTCCCAGTTCGTGTTTAAGTCTAGTTAACATTACACACATTGCTTTAAACAGAGATTCATGTAAGCAAACAATAGGTTCTTAACAGTTTACAAAGCGTGAAAACTTATAGACCAGTTTCAGTTTAAGCACAAACAAAGAATGTTTTAATTGACCCGATTAATCCTAAAATTGTTTAAGAATGCAAAGAACACGAAACCTAAGGGAGAGAGTAAGGATAAAACTTGCCTTACACCGACGTTCGCCTCAATTTGCCGTCGAATCCTTCGTTTGCTCTCTGTTTCCTGCCGTCTCTAAAACTGCTCACAGACTTACTATGTCGTAGTATTATGCTAAAACCCTAGACAAACCCCTTAGATGAGTATTTATAAGCCACTCTAAAACTAGGCTCAATTAAACCCTAATACAATTTACTCGGCCCATTGAACAACTTAGGTTTAAAACATTAACAGCTATATGAATTATAACCCTAATGTAATACTATCTGTGTATAACCTTCTATATTGTCACGTTAAGATAGAATAAATAAGGAAATTGAATTAAATAACTTCAAGTAAAACAATTAAATAATTAACTTAAGCAATTAATTCAAATAAAGCAAATAATCACAATTAAGTCAAATAATTCAAGCAACTAAACAATTAACCATTAAAAATTTAACTAAATAATTAATGAAATTCCAGGACTATCCTTTTGTAAAATTAGGGGTATTACAATTGCCGCCGCCACCTTCCAACATTGCCATCGCCACCACCTTCTAACACCACCACCTACACCACTACCAATTTTCTCCTCCACCACTATCCACCACCGCTACTGCCACCATTTATTTATTAAAAATTATTAGAGATTGTCATTTTGTTAATTTAATTTATTTGTTACTCAGAGGGATATTTTGGAGAATAGACAATACTTGGGTCCTCCTATGGGAGGATGAACTTTATCTTCCCAGCTGAAGTGGTTTAATACAATTAAGACACATGCCCAAAATTTTAAATTTTTTTATAATAGTTATTATCCAACTTCTTACTGATTAAACCCAAATCCATTATTTATTTATTTATTTATTTTTTCTTTCCTTGTTTAAAATTTTTAGAATCCCTTAAACCCACACCCAAGTTTTTTTTTCTTCCCCCTTTCTCTCCCCCACTCACCCCACAAATCTCTATACCCAACCTTAATATGAAATCCTAGTCTATCTATATCAATCAAACATTCAACTTTTATTCCATATGTAAAATAATATACAAACTAACAGAAGCTCATAAATGACACAAAACTGCACCAATCAGAATTGGCAGTATTCACAAATTTTTAATATATATATTTTTTCATATTTTCCACCAATGAGAGAAAGGAAAAAAAAAAAAAAAAAAAAACCACCCTTAGCCCTATCAATTGAAAGGGTTGGGAACTTGGGTGGTATGCAAAAGATAGATATAACTCTGACCAAAATTAGATCTACGAGAAAAGCTCATTCTGACTAAGAAATATATATACAAGAAAAATTCTATTCAAATATACTTTAACATTAAATTTTCGTACAATATTTCAACTTCCTATTCCTTTCCTATTCAACACTTGATATAGTACATTCAATAAATAAATTTAGTAATTTTTTAATTTGGGTATAGAAACATCATGATTCTTTTGGAAAGGAAAAAAATAAAACTTTGGGATTTGGTTTAACCGGTAAAAAAAATGGGCAATGATTATTTTTAGAAAATTTTAAATTTTAAATACGTGTCTAAATTATATTGGTCAGATCAGTTGGGAGGATGAACTTTATCATCCAAGGAAAGGACCCAAGTATTATCTTTGAAGAATTCAACTTAAAATTTATTTCATTTTAAATTTTAAATTGATCCAACTAAATATTAAAATGATTATTATTATTCTATTTCATTTCTAAACACCAAATATAACTTGGTTACTTATTATTTCTTGTTAAATTGCTCAAAATAAATGAATATGAATTTTTTTGTTAAATTTATTTATTTTAATTCTAGTTAGTAGTCATTATTCTTGGTAGAAGACAATTCGGTTATTCATGTCACAGACAGGGAGAGAGAGGTAATTTGGAAACACAGATTTGGCTTTTCATTGGTAACTGTCCCAGCAGGTCTGACGAGTCGTCTTTAAACCAGAAATCGAAAGCGCAAATTTAGAGAGAGAAAGTGTGAGAGAGAGAGAATCCCAAGGACTCAGAGACTATAGATTATTGGTAGTACTGTGTATGAAGTGTGGTAATTCCCATTCGCACGCCACACCACTCCACTGCGCACGTTAGTCACAACAGTGCAGTATTTCCTTTCACTTTCAGTTCCACTTCCCACCCGACCCCAGCAATCACGTATATCATACTCCGTATTACATATCCCACCCCCCCTCCTCTCTCCTCTCTCTCTACCACACTCCCTTTCTCTCTCTATATCTCTATACTCTCCCTCTATATATACATATATCTACAACCTTGAGGTTGGGATTGGGACCGGAGCATTTATTTGATTCTTTGGGATCACTCAATACAATCATCTTCACGTCTCTACTGAAGAAACAGATTTGCTAAATGGATGAAGAATGCTTTATTTCTTTCTTCTCTCACTCCTGGTACCGTCTCTCTCTCTCTCTCTCTCTCTCTCTCTCTCTATATATATATATATATATATATATATACATCAGCTTACATATTGATGCATATGTTCATAATCTAAAAGCTGGATTATTCTTTGCTATTGTATCTTAAAATGATTTTTAGTTGATTATTGATTAAAGTGTTTATGGATTTTTATTTTCTCTCGTCATATTTTTATCTGGAAATTTTCAATCTGGGCATTCGCACAAGCTATTTTATTTGGAGCAATTCTGTAGTGAATATTAATTTCCGGGGGAAAAAAAAAAAATCTGTAGTGAATATTAACACAGGAAGTGGTTAAGATCGATGTTAATTTGTTTCCCAGGAAAATCTGAAAAAGGAAATGAAATCTATAATATGAATCTGAGTTTTTTATTATTATTATTATTTTATTTTATATATTTATTATGTATCAAGCTTTACCAACCATTTAGCTTTGTTGGGTTTAGTGTTTCCTTACCCAGGAACAAAAAGTAGCGACAACATTAGAATTATAATTTTGTAGTCCCATTTTTTTCCATTCAGTTTTCTAGCCAATCAAACAGGGGTTAAGTCCGATGGATTTATTTATTTATTTATTATTTATCTTTTTTGGGTGAGGGAATAATGTGATATTTTATAAAAGGGAAACTGACAGTGCTTTCCAATTGAGACAAAGTAACATGTGCGGGGTCAACAATACTTGATTTTTGTACATTCTATTGTAGCTATCTATGATGTTGTTTAGCCAGCTGGAAATAGATTGTCCAGACTCATAGATGAGACTTTGCCTGCACTTGAACTAGAAATTATAGCCCGAGAGTGGTAAAAATATGTCCGATTCATGTACATTCGTCCATAATTTCCTTTGTTTATACCACACCACTCCTTATCTCTTGAACCCACCAACAAGTTTGATGGGTTAGCTCTAAGCACGCCACCATATGAGAAGAACAAAAATGTCAGTGGCTATGTCACCTCTTCGAAGATGGGTCATTTTCATCCGTGCTAATTTTGTCAATTGCTTTAGCGAAAGAGCCAAACTCAATTGGGTTCATCGCCAGAAACACCAACCTAGCACTCGGTGAGATCTGAAGCATCTTTCAGAACACATTATAAAGTCTCTTCATCTCTTCATCAATAATCTGCTCACCAAAAACACCACAACTATAAAACCCACCGCCTAAGGCTTCAACACTTGTTTTAGTCATCTCCATAGAATCATTTGAGTTCTCAAAGAAGACCGAATTGGGTTATATTGAGCTCATGAAGAAGGGGATAGCATGTTAGAGATGGGTTGTCAAAATCATCAATGGTTTCTGTGATTCCTGAGGAAAATTCATGGGATTGGATGAAACAGCCAGTCACTTGGCGACGTTGCTACCACTTGTTGTGCCACCTCTAACTGGAACTATGTGAGCTAAATTACCTTGATAATTCCCCATTCTTTGGAATAAGTAACTACACATAGTTGAGAACCAACACACGGTACTATCTCATTTGATCTCTTTAGCTGATTTGGTGTGTTTTGTTAAATTTAACTTGAGAGTGAGGGCTTTCAAAAACCATGGGCCTTGGTGGATTATAGTGGTGATTTTGGATTGAATAAATGGAGATTAGTTTTTGATTGGGTTTTTAAACTGAACAATTCAAGTAACTTAAACATCCAATCCATACAGGGGAAAAAAGATCCAATCCATACACCATGAAGCCATGGAGGTGGTGGTTATGGTGGGGAGAGAGAGAGAAGATGGTCTTTCAAGTGATGTGGGCAATTTACTCTTTTCTCATGTTGGACATTTTTTTCGTTAAAAGACTATTATAAAATGAAGGGCAATTATGACTTTTGATATGCATTTTTTAATGTCGTTTTGACACTAATTATGGCAGGGTGTGTCGAATCTAAGTGTAATTAGAGCAAACCTCACGGAGCTTCAATGTAATTTATTTTTATATTTTAACATCCAGTGGCTTTGTTGTTAGTAGACTGAAGTAGATTGGGGTGGTCACTTGGAAGTCATGTGAGCCTTTTAGCCCCTTATTTTTGGTGCCTAAACACTTGCAAATTGTCTCAGACAATATATTGCACAAGAATGCGGCCTTGGGGAGAACTATGAAGACTATTTCAGCCCTATTTCAGCCTTTTGTGTTGGGACTGAAATACTGAACAATTACTCATTTGCTTTGTGTATGTAAATGACCACCCTGAAGCTTAATAATTACTCATTTGCTTTGTATATATGCAAACTGTTGGTGCTATTCAGATTTATTGTTGATTCAATCAGTGCTATGAGTGGTGAGAAAAGCATGTTAGGGTTGATTAAATCGTTCCTAGTTCTATTGAACTTTACTACTACATTATAATTATTTTTATATCTTTTATTGCATAAACTAGCCTAGCACATCTAAAGTCAATATCTTGGCATGAAATTCATGAGATGTGCTAGAAAATAAGATTCCCCTTCATTCCAAGTAAATCTGTGCTTGAAAATAACATTTATTGTGGTTTTGGGTTTGTTAAACTCTTTCTTGTTTTCCTGTACATTTTGCTGTTAATCAATCCAATTTTATTGTGGAATTCATCCTCAAAGTTATAATGCTTAATTAATACATATTGTTTGAGGGTCTGTGGCTTATATCTTTTCTAGAACGGGTGACATCTTAAGTTTTACTGGCGCAGACTATCATATAACTGACATTTTGTTTGAAAGCTATGCAGGTATGGAGCTTAAAGTGCTGTGTGAAAAGTTCACCACTTTATTTTTCCTCAGGACGCAAGATTTAATCTATACGAGGTGATATAATTTATGATTCTCAGGGAGAAAAATGTTGATGGGAGGAGACTTTGATCTGAATTCCATGCAAATATATGCTGATCCTCTCAAAAAAGTTTTAAAGCAGACAATGCTTAACCAGGAGGTTATATTCAGGAAGCAGGTATTGGATCATATCTGCTCAAAGATCCAGTTAGTTACCGATCAACTTTGGCAAGAACCAAACTTTGTCTCTAGTTGACAATGTTTTGTCTTCTTGATTTCATGATAAATAATAAGTGATAACATGAATAATCCACCTTTGAGTTGAGTTGTAGTGCATAAAAGTCATAAACCAGAATGAGTTGAAGCATAGGCAGCTTGTAAACAAAGTTATGAACCATGGGCTATGAATAGACCATGGCTTTCCCTTCAATTATATACTTATTTTTCTTGCTATTGTTTTTTATGTAGGTTCATGAACTCCACCGTTTATATAGGATACAAAAGGCCCTAATGGAAGGTTTTGGCTGGAAAGACTTTGATGGATACAATTTGTGGAAAATGAGTACACGATCAACAGTGGGGCCTTTCATTAATCCTTGGAGATTTGAACATCTGGCCGAAGAGAAAATAATTTCCACCATTCCCACGGTAAAGGAGGACAAGCAACTCCCAATGACTTGTATGAGAAGTGATTTAGTGAAGAACAAATATGTATGTGCGTGTGTGTGTATATTTAGGGGGAAGGTGTCGGTTGGTGGGGATGTTGTTCTTTCATCCTCAAGTGTTGTGCCTTGTGTGACATAAATCCAGGTCTTCTAAGATTCACTATATCATTGTGACCAAGAGATAACAGTCAAAAGTGGTAAAGGGACTTAGAATACCTTCATTCATACAAAGAAATCTCATTGCCTGGATTTGCCCTAGCTTTTCTCTCCTTCAGAAAGCATGCAAGTAGTGTCACTAGCACAGCAGAGAGAAATGATAATATATTGTGTATACTATTTTAAGTTAATCGTTCCTTCCTGGGCCTTCCCTTCACATACCACCCCCCATTCCCACCCTTCCATTCAGTACAGTAAAGGTTTAGCATATTGTGCCTTACTAAAGGCGGTTTGTTGGTCGTAGATCATGGCCTTCCATTTTTCTGATGTTGTGGTTAACGTCTTTCAGGTGAGCTCAACAGATCCTACAAACAATGATTACTTGAAAGAGCATACAGGTACCTGCTTCAGGCTTCAGCAGGGGGCTCTGGATCTTGAACTTCCAGCTGATCACTTCATTAACTACATTGGTGCTGAGTTTCTAAGTAAAGAAAATGGCCGGGATTCTCTAAGACATTATGGCGAATTAAGAAATTATATTCCCGGTGATAATGCATCTCCTCCAGAAGAGTTGAAGCTTTCCCTGAGCATTGGAGTTGATGCTAGAAAGAGTGACGGCAAGAGAACTTGGCATGACAAGATTAGAGAATTTTCTTCTCAACATGTTATTGATTTAGAGGAATCAACTGAAAAGGTGTCAAATGAGGCATCAAAGCCTGAATCTGACCACGATTGTGCTCCTCCAATCACTTATTCTGGAGATAAGCATGACTCACAAGTTTCTGTCCAATCAAATCAAAGCCTTACTAATAGTGCAAAGAAAGAGCCATCATGTGGGTTTACGGTGATTCGCTCTGTTGTAGATACTGGTGAAAGCTGTCAGGAGCAAAACTCCTTCAATAAAGGTTTGGCATTTCATCAATGATTTGTTCATGACGATGTACTCCAGAAGTCTTCGTATTGTGCACATTAAGCATATACTCGATTACCGTGATTTATGTATTCTGGTTTTGGTTTAATTCTGCAGGAATTGAAAAAGGCCATAGTGAAATTGCATGTAATAATTATATGTTCAGCAAGGAAAAACAAGACACTTCTTATGAAATGGTGCATTTGGACCTTAACAGAGTTCTTCCCGATGATTCGTCTTTTTTCTCAAATGATCCTGCTCTGGCATATCCTTCATCAGTTAGCTCATCGGGTAACGGATTAATTGACAAGTTCCACAAAGTCACTCCTGCTGCATCTGGTTGGAGAAAACCAGCCATTAATTGGTTTGATGGAACTTCTGCTTTGCTTCCAGATGATGCTGTAAATCCCATCTCGATGGATTCCAACAGCAACAGTAATGGTATGAATAATTGGGCTAGAAGTAACGCAACTAAAGTGGTTAGTGGAAGTGAAGTGTGTCCCATAGATCTTGAGTCTGTGACTGGGCCCCCATCAGATATTGGTGAAGACCTTGGCAGTCACAGCAGGGACTCTGAAAATGAAAATTTACACTCGCCGTTGAAATTTCCAAACGAAAATCATGCAGATGTAGCTTTGGCAGAAGTACACGGTGAAAAGGTTGAAGAAGATATGGTGTTTGTAAGACCATGCAGAAGTCAAAGTGCAGTTCAAGATGGACATACTAACATATTGCCTGTCTCATTCAAGTTTAATTGCATTGCTGACAACAACTCATGCAGCGTAAAGACCATGCAATCAGGAACTTATATGGGAGAATCAAATCTTTCTCCTCCAAATAAGTTCCCAAAATCGGAGTCATCTCAAGTTGTTGAAACTCCATCATGTGAGCAGGACCGAATATCTTCTGACAGCATTGAATTGAATCATCAATGCTCCAACAAGAAGAAAGAAGAATTAACAGAGGTGGATGATTTGATCCAAAAGGCAGCCGAATCACTGATCCACATTTCCCTGCAAGGTCCAACTAGTACTCCAAATTGTTTTGCCAAGGCTAGATTGAATGAGTTTGAAAATGAAGAGAGGGAGCAGCCACAGTATTCTTCTGATTCTTTTGCGTCAATTGTGCTAAAGCTAAAAGAACAAAGTGCAGATGACGATTGTGTGTCATCACAGCCATTTGAAGTAAACGAAACCGATAAAAGAGATTGTGGAATCAAGTTGAGAAGGGGAAGGAGGCTGAAGGATTTCCAGAGAGACGTACTGCCAAGTCTGGCATCTCTTTCCAGACTTGAGATCCGTGAAGATATTAACATTATGGAGGGAGTTCTTAGGTCAAGAGAATACAAGAAAATGAGATCCAAGATGGCTGCTGGAGATAACTGGTTTGCACCTGTCAAAAGCAGGAGGTCAAGACTCAATTATGTTGGCCGAAGATATTATTCATGAAAGTTAAAGCTAGAATTGCAGTTATATTTGAAAAACAGGTTTGTTTTGATTTGCATAGCATACTGAAAATAACTTTAATTCCATTTATGGATCTTACATCTTAGTACTTCTTTTTGTTTTCTGGCTTTTAAAAATTTCCATTATCACTGCATGCATGATCATTATACTCTCTTTAAGATCATTTAAGGATTTTGCCTTGGAGGAAGAGAAACTTGAGTTAGAGTGTTACATTGAATCGAAAGCTCTGATACCAGTTGAAGCGCCTCGTAGAAACATCGAAATATCCAGTTGAACTGAAAGCTCTGATAAGAGTGTTACAAGACCTGTAGAAACACACTGTTCTATGCCATAAGGACTTCTAGAACACAACGTCAAATATCATTTACTGCTAATTTGTTTCCACGACTTCATCTCTTTATGTTTTCCAATGGTGAGCTTTCCTCAAAAGGAATCAAAGATAAATAGAATTTCTTTTTAAACACATGTTAATGTTGGCATCAGCTCGCCTTACTTTATCTTCCTTTTGGGACTTTTCAATGCTACAATCTCTCATTTAAAGTTTCGATTGGCTCAGATAATCCAACCACTAGATCAACAGCAACTCACCTTTCAAGTCTTGCTTTTCAGTTGCCGTATTGAAGTACTTGCCATTATCCCCTTGTTTTATATTGAGTTCTTTTAAACCATCAATTATGTCCAAGAAGTCTGGCTCTGAAGTACTGTTATTAGAAACCTTTTCAGGTGCATCTGTTGTGTACATGCAACTTCATCACCTTCAATTACAATAGAATTTTGATCACCATCAATCTCTTGAGGATCACTGGTTGCTTCTACCAAATTATTGTTATATTCCTTGAATGTCACCATCTTTATTGTAAATTCCTCCTTAAACTCGTTAGACAGACCAACTCTTTTTCCTGCAATCCTGATGTTGGTACAACATCTGCATGTAATCTGGTGATAGGATTTTAGCCATCAACAGTTGTTTCATTTTGTACCACAACCGCAAATGCTGTTTTCCTTGCCTCATCCGGTTAGTTTTTATCTGCTCTTACCAAGTTAAAGCGCCTCGCTTAAGCTTGAATGCCATAAGCGGAACTTGTTTGTTTTCAAATACGTCAAAATACTCGAAAAAAAGTGTTTTAACTTCATCAAGCAGACATCCTCAACATGAAAACTTCTAGTGAAAGTGAGTAGATTAAGCTCTCTCTCAAATTAACGATTTTCCTGATATCTACGGTTTCTATCGCGTCTACATCGATCACATCGCTCCCTCGCAACTTCTCTAAATCTAAACTTCTCATCATCGGAATAATTCGCATAGGCTGAAGGTCTAGGTGGATGTATAGGAACATAACCCATATTCGGTTGGTTCCAAGGAACATCGTCAGCACAATTCTGAATTGGACCATGGACCTGGTTGCCACCAATCCCAAGACAATCAATTGCCTGATGGTTCTCCCGCTGCATGCGTTTAATCTGTCTAGATCATTGTTTTTGAGTATGCATGGCTGCCGAAGGGACCTACACTCCGCAATTATCATCGCAAAAGCGGTTGCTACAAAACAATCATTCGCCAGGGTAAAACAAGACTCTGATACCAACTGACGGAGCTAAAGTTTTGAATTTTCGTAAGGACAAAGAACAACTTTGAATTTACAAAGTTAATAGAAAATTGCAGAGTAATCTAATATATTATTGATAATATATGCATGTTTACAATAGAGAAAACTTAACATTATAAGAAAGCTAACAGCATAAGAAACCTAATAATATGAAAAAACCCAACTCCGTCAGAAAAAAAGAATCCCAACCCAACTAGTGCCTTCAAAAGTTTCATTAACAATAATTGGGTTATCAAAAACATAAAAAAATTTTAGACACAAAAACAACATACCCAAGTCTCACCTTTCACAAAAAAAGAAAAGAAAAAAAAGAAGGGCTTATTTTTTATTTATTTATTATTTTTTTTTGTAGATGTGGGGCCTGCAATAAAGTTCCCATTTATTAGGAATTTCAAGTCATTGGATGCTACTAATCTGTCCAACACACCTAGGACTCTCAAATCTGATACCCAATTGTTTGAGACCCACCTATAATGTATCTTCTATCGAATCATTGAAATCCTCTCATCAATAATATTGATTCTTTCCAATGCACCTTGTCAATTTAGCAAATATGATGGGCCCAGTTTGATAAATGAGTGGGACCTAGGCTATGTAGGCCCATTATTCAATTACTTAGTTGATTTTTATGTTTATTTTATGTCTTCTAAAGTTCAAGTAGAGTGCGAACCTCAACTTATCTCTATAGAGTTGAGTGACAACACCGTTTGAATTAATGTTAATTAGTAATTGAACTGCCTCTTAATAAACGGAGAGAATGGATCCACTGTATTATTATATTACAAAGTGCACTGATCGGACAACGACTTTTATTAAATTAATCCACCAAATACTAAATAGACCCGAACCATCTAATAATTTATTGCTCTCTCTGTTTCTCTCTCTTGTTTGAATCCTTTGCTATAAGCCTATAACCTATAAAATACACTTAAATCATGTTTCGATAAAATTTAGAATACTTTTGTTTTAAATTTCAACAATAAACTGATGTATTGAAACACAAAGTTATGTGTTCGTGTTTTAACATATATTTTTTTGTTTTTTAAAAATTTAAAATAAATATGTTGAAGCACATATTTAAGTGTGTCAAAAATCTTTATCTGTGCAGCATACTTTTGGTATGACTACTCTTCTAAACCTATAGCATCCATCTTTCTTGGCATGACCTAATTCTTTTCAACTTGTTACATCTCTCTCTCTCTCTCTCTCTCTCTACCATAATTTTAGAAAATCCTTTTATTTATGAACATTCAAAGCTCTGTTTAATATCTTTAATGTGTGAGTGTACTATTAGTGTTCGTGACAAGGATTTTACAGTTACGACCTATCCAAGAATGCTACATTTTATGGCACGTCACCTAATCTCATCATGGTTGTCTCACCATGGTGTCAAGAAATAAATTTCATGTCATAAAATGTTATCAATTCTGAATTGGATCACACCAGCAATCCCAAGACAATCAATTGCCTGTTGGATCTCCGGTAAAATAAGACTCTGATACCAATTGACAAAGTTAAAGTTATGAATGTTCGTAAGAATAAAGAACAATTTTGAATCCACAAAGTTAATAGAAAATTGCATAGTAATCTGATATATTATTGCTACTTCCTGCATACATGCATGTTGAAGAAAAAAAAAAAGTAAATAATCCCTTATTTCATTCATTCCGGAGACAGTAGGGTACAAATAATGTATAGGAGAAAAATAAAACTAACGTATAATTAAATCTCCTTAATTCTAGTAGCTAATTACAGGAAAGAAGATCAAATCTAATAATCAATAGATTTGAAAATAAAAAAATCAGGTAACCAAATCTCCTACTTTCTATATTCAGAAATTCAACTTAACTAAAATAAAAATCTCTTCTCTATAAAAAAGGATCTAAATTCGGAATTCAACACATGTTTATAATAGAGAAAACCAAAACTAACAGCATAAGAAACCTAATAATATGAAAAAACCTGTTAGTATAAGGAAAGTAGCAACATAAGGAAACCTATCAAGTATGACACAAGGAACCTACCCAAAATTAAATTTTCTCTAAAAATTACCAGAAAATAAAATAAGACACTTCATCTCTAAAAAAATACTAATACAAGGAAATAGTGGATAAAATTTTCCTACATCATTGTTACAACACGCAGATTCAGCTACTTCCCCGGAATAACTTTTTCAGTTTTGGAAGTGTCTGCACTTTCGTCAAATTGATCACCAAAGCCAAGATGCACCATCAATAACCAAACCAAAGTGATGAGGTCTCCACCTTTATTCAGGTGTTGGACGTGAGAATATGCTCCGCAACGACTTGCACCAAAAGAAAGTAATTCTACCCAAACTTTGCTCATTGTTTCCCATTTACGCGACTCAGGCAACTTTTGCAGCTCTTTGGCCAACCGGCATGCTTCAAACAACACGGATTTGCTTTTATTTCCCTTGATAGTAGCAGGATCAATATCTGTAGGAAAAGACAGGATATTTTTGCAGACTGTTAGAGTGTTCCTTACCTTCCGATTTACCTATGCCAAAGAATTTCTTAGCGGCAGCAAACATATTTGGCCAAGCTTGTTTCTGTCCGTGTCCTTGTCCAGAGAATCCCATTCTCTGGATGAATTTCCTGGTGAGGATGCAGTAAGTGGCATGGGCCGGTTATAACTCGCTGGCATGGGATCGGGTCGAACACTTGAAGTATGGCCCATGCAAAAGCATCCCGGAATGGGCCGAACTTGGAGGATCCACTGAGTAAGATCAAGCCCATTGGAAAATTAGGCCCAAAAGGAAGAAAACTCTTGAATATAGGCCCAATGTAATCAGTTAGTAAGAATATTTGTAATGGACTATAAATAGACCATTAAGGGGGGATTTTTGGGGGATTGAAAGTGTAAGAATTCTAGAGAGAGAAAGAAGAATGAATATCTTGCATCTTCAATTGGTCTCGGCACAGGTATCTATCGAAAAATCACGATACCTGCCAACTCTGCCTTTACCTGCAATGCTTTCATCGGCAGTGTAGCAGAGTTCAGTTGCAATGTGCCACAATAGAACGCTTTTATCATATTCCTCTTTAACATAAGGGTGTAAATTGCTGTAACTTTGATCACGTAGAACCCGTTCGCCTCTGGCTGACCACATCTCCTTGGCAATTTCTAAACAAGACCCTTCTCTAGCTTTAATTTGCAGCTCTTTGAAGATGAAGTCTCTCAACTCTCTGGTGAATGATGCCCTTCTGACATACTTGAGCCCATCTAAAACGTTGGTCAGACGGAAAATGGCAATGAGTTTTTGCATCCATCTTGAACGTTTATGTATGCAGTAATCTATCAAGTTGTATTGCAAGAAAGACTCAGACCAGAAGCGGTGCAAGAGTTGCCTAAGCGGCAACAAACAGCTGGGACCAAACTTTGCTGTCTCTTCAGACCACCCTCCTGAAGATGCAAGAAACTCCTTCTATTCTTTCTCTCTCTAGAATTCTTACACCTCAACCCGAATCAAGATCCACCTCCTCTTCATTCCAACTCCTATTTATAGATATTTACAAGATATTTACAAGATATTTACTAATTGCTGGACCTGGGCCTATTCCTCAGTAAGCCCTGGTCACTCTTGATGGGCTTACTCCCGCTCGGCCCATATGGCAGTGTCTTTTTATGGGCTGACCCAGCTGTTCGGACTGAAGGTTGTGTTTTGCGAGTCGGACCTGGCCCATGTCATCCAGGGCCTCCTCAACTGCCCCCATAATTGCCCCTTATTTAATAAGGGGTAATTATTGATGGCGTCTCATCATGACGCTGACGGCTCGAGATAACCACGTGGGGGAGCGAACGGTCAGATCCAGAATCAATGTTCCGGGGTTCGAGGGATTTCTTGCCTTCCCGACGCTTCGGCCCTCGGGCCCCCTTGCCTATATAATGCTCTCGAATTCCACTTCACTTCCCTTTACCGTCTCCATCATCAGTCAAATCTCCCTCTTTCTAGAACTGTGCTAAGCCTTTTCCGGTGAAATCCTTCGGGAGTCATTCTCCCAGCGATCTTGCAGTCCTCCGAGGTTAGTTTCGTTCTTTTTACTTTCGGCAGGCTTCCATTTTCCCTCTTTTAGATTCTTCTTGCACTTCCACCATGGTTGTAGATCTGGGTGTCCTTCGTATGAGACTTAGGCTTCCTGACAACATCGTAGTTAGGGTTTGCCCCCAAGACGTTAATATTACGACCGGCGCCGGCCTCCTGCCCGGCGAAGTCTTATTCACAAACCTTCAACTGAATGTTGTTAGGTTCCCTCTGCACCCTTTCTTTAGTTACGTCTTCAACAGATTGGGGATATCCCCTCTGCAGGTCAACCCCAACTTCTTTAGGATCATATCTGTTATGCTCTTATTGATGCGTGACAGAAATCTGGACCTTGACCTCATAGACCTCCTTCTGTGCTATAAGGTCAGTAAGATCCGTACTAACGAGCCCTTCTACCACCTCTACCCGTTCGAGAAGATGTCCATATGCACTGACACAATAAAATCTGAAAAGGGTTGGAGGGATAGCATAGTGGGTATTAGTGGGGCTTGGTCTTCGCCGGCTGCAGAGGATTACCCTATCCCGAGCGCCTTTGGTGTCTGCTCTGTCTCCTCCTATAAAAAATTCAAATCCCATAAACACGACTGCCCCTGTGAAACATGCGTTCCTCGTTTTTGCACTTACTTATGCCGCTCCTTGGGAATACCTTGTGATGACTTGAGCTACAGTGTTTGCAGGGATAGGACCAACTACTTGAAGAGATACGTTCTGAACGATATTCCTTCCTGCTCAGATCTCCTCACTTCAGACAACCTCTTCGCGCTCTCATCACTCGGCTACAATATGAGCAGACTGCAGATTCCCTCTTTTGGCAGGAGGAAAAATACTCCCCCAGTCATTCCTGCTGCTGGGGCGACCTCCTCTCCAGCGTCGGCTTCTTCTTCAGCCACCATATCTGACACTGCCCCGAGCGCAGTGGCTACTAACCCTGCTGCCAGCGCCCCTGCGGCCAACCAGAACGCGCCCTCCCCAGCTACCATAGCTCCTGCTGCTGCGGGGGGCGGTCGGGACAAAGAGCGAGGCAAAAGGGCCTCATCCTGACAGTGAAATCGACCCTGAGGAGGAGCCTCTTATTAGAAGGACCCGAGTCTCTGGGCCGGGTACTCTCTTGCACCGAGCGATCAGAGCTCCTTCTCACTCTGGGCCTCCTGCAGCTGGTGGCTCTGCTTCTGCTTCAGGCCCCCCTTCTATCCCCAGCTTGCCGCCATGGGCCCCTCGGTACACTCGAACGGATGGGACGTTCGTGAAACCGAACGAGACCATGCTGAAGGATGGCCAGACCGCTATGGCCTACTACAGGAGCATGTGGACTCCGAAGGACATTGAGGCGGCAAAGGGCCTTTCCCAGAAGGACGTGTTCAGTCGCTTTCCCCAATCTGCTATGGAGGTGACTTTTATTTTCTAACTCATGAATTCTCTTATATTACTTGGTCTTGCCTTCTCCCGTTCTGACTATCGGTTTAACCGTTCTTATTGTGTACCTATGCAGACATTGTTTGGGATGATGGCCATGCAGAAGCAGGTGGAAATGGGGAACGCCAGGGCCCGAAAGTATTCTGACAGCCTGGAGGTGGCTAATAAAGAGAACGACCTCCTTGCCATGAAGAATACCGAGGCGCTGGTTCGGCTTGACAAAGCCGAGCAAGAGAGAGATGTCCTGAAAAAGGAGAATGATTCCCTTCAGGATGAGAAGGACGCCCTCCAGCTCGAGAAGAGCGTCTGGCAGACTGAGCAGGAATCACTCAGAGAAGAGAAGGCAGAACTCCAACGTCTTCTAGCTGATGAACAGTCTGCTCGGATGGCTTTTGAAAAAAGAGCTCTGGACGAGCGTACCGCTCTGATCGACGTTATCAGCAGAGTGGGTGGTGGGATGCTGGCCCTTCATGCTCGGTTCTCCAGGGTCGGTGCTCTTCGGTATGCTCAAGGATTCCGGGAAGGCTTCGCCGACCGGGTTCCGGATGAGGGACAGACCAGCTCCACTCCGGATGAGGTAGACAAGGATCTGGGGATCGAGCCTCTGGGGGTTTATGTCGACCCAGAACCCACCGAAGCGGAGCGTATATTTGATGAGTGCCAGGACATCGCATCCTCAAGGATCATCACAGCTCCTCCTGCCACTCTGCCACTGACCGCTCCCCAATCGTCGACCGTGGCTCCCTCTGTAGCCACTGCTGACGCTGAACCCCAGCCGAACGACTCAGTTATTCACCTGGATTCCCCACCTCATGAAGGTGAGGCGGCTGATGGGGCCGAGGAGGCGAGTCGGCAGGACCAGGATGCTGTTGGTACTGAGGCGTCTAGCTAGGGCTCCTTCGAATTCTTCCAGTTCATATCTTCTTGTAATGATGGACACCTCTCTTTTGTAAACTAAATGTTCAATATTAATGAAATGGCCGAACTCTTTTTCTCTATGTGGTGTGCTCTGTTCAACTTATCTTCAGTACATATATATCTTTTCTCTCTTTTTCTTTTTATATTAGTTTTGCTGTGTGTTTGTACGGCAAGTGCCTGGCGCTCGGCTAGAATGCCACTTGCCACTTGGCTTTAAATTTTTAGCAAGTGTCTGGCGTTCGGCTTATAGTGCCAGCTGCCACTTATCTTGCTTAAGTGCCTGGCGCTCGGCTAGAATGCCACTTGCCACTTGGCTTTCAATTTTTAGCAAGTGTCTGGCGTTCGGCTTATAGTGCCAGCTGCCACTTATCTTGCTTAAGTGCCTGGCGCTCGGCTAGAATGCCACTTGCCACTTGGCTTTCAATTTTTAGCAAGTGTCTGGCGTTCGGCTTATAGTGCCAGCTGCCACTTATCTTGCTTAAGTGCCTGGCGCTCGGCTAGAATGCCACTTGCCACTTGGCTTTCAATTTTTAGCAAGTGTCTGGCGTTCGGCTTATAGTGCCAGCTGCCACTTATCTTGCTTAAGTGCCTGGCGCTCGGCTAGAATGCCACTTGCCACTTGGCTTTCAATTTTTATAGTAGACCATTGGAAAAGAAAATTCTTCTCTTCTTTTTTTTGTAAACTCCGGTATCTTGCTCATTCATATGTATTTGATTAACAACAAATAACATCCAATTAAAACCAGAACTTAGCTTCTATTGATAGTACCTCTTCAGAGACGTGGCGTTCCAGGGCTTGTTGACCAACTTTCCCGCCATGGTTTCCAACGTATATGCCCCTTTGCCAATGACTTCTGCAATTCTGTACGGGCCTTCCCAGGGTGGCATCATTTTTTTGACCATCCCCACCTTTCTTTTCAGAACCAGATCGCCCGGGGCAAAATCCCTGTGTTTTACTCTCTTATTGTGACTATTCGCCAGCACTTGCTGATACGATGCTAGCCTTATAGCCGCTGCGTCCCTCCTTTCGTCTATCATGTCGAGGTTCAATCTTAACATCTTGTCGTTCTGATCTCGACTCCATGCTAAGCTTCTGATAGTGGGGACTAAATGCTCAACCGGTATAACTGCTTCGGTACCATACGCCATCGCGAACGGGCTCTCCCCAGTCGGCCGCCTTGGGGTGGTTCTGTAAGCCCATAGAACGTTCGGGAGTTCATCCAACCACTTCCCCTTATGATCTTCCAGCTTCTTCTTAATGCAGGCGAAAATGGTTCTGTTTGTGATTTCTGCTTGTCCGTTAGCCTGAGGATGACTTACTGCAGCCAACTTCTGGTTGATTCCATACTCCTCCAGCAGCTTTCTTACTTGCCTGCTGTCGAGGTTTGTGCCATTGTCCATGACTATTGTTCTGGGAACACCGAAGCGGCAGATAATGTTGTTCCAGATAAATCGTCTCACCTGAGTCTGAGTCACGCTAGGATACGGTTCTGCCTCCACCCATTTAGTGAAATAATCCGTGGCCAGTAACACATACTTGTTCTGAGCTCTTGCAGTTGGCAGAGGACCGACCACATCCATCCCCCATTGCGCGAAAGGCCACGGCGAGGCCATTACGTGCAATTCTTCAGGTGGTTGGTGGATCATTGGTCCATATCGTTGGCACTTATCGCACCTTCGAGAGAACTCCTCCGCATCTCTTGACATGTTTGGCCAAAAATACCCTTGTGTCATTGCTTTATGCGCTAACGATCTTCCCCCAGAATGATTGCCACACACACCCTCATGAATAGCTCGCAATACCTGCTGCGATTCCGCGGGGGTGACACATTTCAAGTATGGGCCAGAATAGGACCTTCTGTACAGCTGGTTCCGCACGATGGCGTACTTGGCAGCATTCTTTTTGAGTTTCCTAGCTTCATCCCTTTGCATAGGCAAAACGCCATCTCGAATATAGGTAATGATTGGGTCAATCCAACTCGGTTCATACGGTATGACGTTGACTTGCCAAGGGTCCGAGACCATCGGTTCTTCGAAAATGGACGGCTGGGTCACTATTCCCACTGGAATCACCCTCGCCAATGTTTCACCACAACTTGAAGCACTGCATGCTAAACGGTCTGCATCTGCATTCTGTTCCCTCGGCAACTGTATGAATTCAATCTTTGCAAAGTCCTTGGCTCTACGCAGAACGGCAGAACGGTATGCCCCCATCATGTCATCCTTGGTTGCGTACTCACCATTTACCTGCCGAACAATCAGCTGCGAGTCACTATACACTGTCAAACTTTTGATCTGTAGCTCTTTGGCCAACTTTAATCCATTTAGCAACGCCTCGTATTCCGCTTCATTATTGGTGGCTCGGAACTCAAGTCTGAGTGCTTGGCTCAAGGAAGTACCTTCTGGGGTTTGCAGTTTGATCCCAATCCCAGCCCCCGTCGGGTTAGAGGAGCCATCCACAAAAAGTTTCCAAGAGCCGCTTCTAAGGTCCTCTTCCGTATCTTCGGCATCACATTCTAGTAGGAAATCGGCCACCGCTTGCCCTTTAATAGCTGTTCTCGGCTCGTACGTTATGTCAAATGAACTCAACTCTATGGCCCACTTTGTCATTCTGCCCGAGAGCTCTGGCTTGTGCATGAGCGTTCTGATTGGGAAAGTTGTTAGAACAGCTATGGGGTGGGATTCAAAATAATGCCTTAACTTTCTTTTTGCATTTACAAGTGCAAGTACCACCCGTTCGGCCTTTGAGTATCTTTTTTCTGCCTCCATCAGTGTCTTGCTTACATAAAATACTGGGTATTGCACCCCTTCCTTGCAACGAATCAGAACGGCACTCGTCGCGACACCAGATACTCCAAGATATAGAAATAACTTTTCTTCCGGTTCTGGGGCTGACAGGACTGGCGGATTCTGCATATATTGCTTCAAATGAGTCAATGCCTGTCGTTGCTCATCCCCCCAGACCTGCCTTCCATGGCTCCGAATCGTGTCAAAGAATGGTTTGCAGTGGTCTGACAACTTTGAAATAAATCGACTTAATGCAGCTATTCGTCCTGTTAGGGCTTGCACCTCTCTGATCGTCTTTGGCTCGGCATTCTTAATCAAAGCCTCTGCTTGAGCGGGGCTAACTTCGATGCCCCTGCGGTTGACCACGTGTCCCAGAAACTGCCCGGAACTCACACCGAACGAGCACTTGGTCGGATTGAGCCTCATCCCATATCGCTTTAGTACATCAAATACCTCTTGCAGATGCTTCAGATGATCATCCTTTTTCCTACTTTTCACCACCATGTCATCAATATAGGCTTCGACAATCTTACCCATTTGATTCTTAAAAACTTTGCTGACAAGTCGTTGATAAGTTGCTCCCGCATTCTTTAATCCAAAAGGCATAACCTTGTAGCAGTACGTTCCTCGCTCGGTGACAAAAGAAGTTTTTTCTTCATCTGCGGGGTCCATAGGAATCTGATTATAACCTGAATATGCGTCCAGAAAGGTTAAACGCTCATACCCCGTGGTGGCATCCACCATTTGATCAATCTTAGGCAACGGGAAACTGTCCTTCGGGCAGGCTTTGTTTAAATTGGTGAAATCAATGCATACGCGCCATTTCCCATTTTTCTTCTGCACCACAACGACGTTGGACAACCACTCAGGGTAGTGCACCTCTCTGATAAATCCCGCATCAAGCAGCCTATCAACTTCTTCCGTTATGATCTGATTACGTTCTGGAGCAAATCTTCGCTGCTTCTGTTTCACTGGTTTGAAATTAGGATTGACATTCAGGGAATGACAGGAGACGGAAGGACTAATTCCAGGCATGTCGAGATGACTCCATGCAAATACGTCGACATTGTGGGATAAGAAATCCACTAGCTCTTGCTGCTCTTCTCTGGTCAATCTTATACCCACTCTGGTAGTTCGTTCTGGCCTGGACTGATCGATCTGCACATCCAGAAGGGGCTCCTCGGTCAAGTCGGCTGACTCCTCCACCCTATTCTGCTCGAGTGGAGGTTCCTGTAATTGCTATCTGGGGCTTGTCGACCGGACGGGCGCCTTTCCCTTCCCTGCATGCTTTAGTGTGACGGAATAACACTCTTTGGCTGCGACCTGATCCCCCCGAATGTCTATCACTTTATCTCCATCGGGCCCGAGGCACCTCATGACCTGATGCAGAGTTGAGGGTACACCTCGGACTCTGTGAATCCATCCTCTTCCCATCAGGAGATTATACGAGGGGTGAATTTCCACAACCACAAAAGTTTCCATAAGAGCTCGCTCTGCAGCTTGAACTTCTACTTCCACCATCCCGACGGGTTCCACCCTCTTCCCATCGAACCCTAACAAGGGATTTCCGGTGGGCTTGAGCCTCTCTGGTTTAATGTCGAGCCTGTCAAATGTGTCCCTTGGCATAACATTCGCACTGCTCCCAGGATCGATCAGAACTCTGCGCACCAAGCACTCTGCCACTGTCAAACTGACTACCAACGGGTCGTCATGAGGCAGTTGGACACGCTGCAGGTCTGTCCAGTCGAACTTTATCTGCATTGACGGGCTCTGTTGGTGTAGAGTGGTCACATTGCCGACCCTTTTCTTCATCTGTGCCTGCCGCAGGCGCACCCGTAGCAGCTCATCTGGCTCTTCACTAGGCTCGGGTCGACCATGGATAGCATTGATTATACGAACTGGTTGCGAATTGTGGGAGCTCTGTTTATGACTCCTTTTTATTTGTTCCACTGGTCGATTCTGCTCCATCGCCGAGCCTTGAACATAACTCGCAAACTCCCCTCTAGCTATCAACATCTCCACTTGCCTCCTCAGGTTCCTGCATTCGTTAGTCTGATGTCCGAAATCAGAATGAAAAGCACAATGTTTAGTTTGATCCCTCTGTTCGAGGGGTTGTCTAATTGGCAGTGGTGGATGAAACTTGTCCTTGTTCTCCTGATATAACCTCGCCAGAGTGACCTTCAGCGGAGTAATCAACTCTTCCTCCCTGGACCTTTTTTCGGCCTTCCAAGTGGTCTGACGTTGCGGCTGAGCCTGCTTCTGCCTGATCTTTGCCTTGGACTTTTCCTCGGTCGACACAAGCGACGTTGTCCGAGCATTAGCTGCCTCCTCTTCTTCGAGGCGCACAAAGCCATCGGCTCTCTCATTGAGTTCGTCCATGGTAGCTGGCGTATTCACTACCAGACTGGTGTGAAACGGAGTTCCGCGTGTCATGGCTAACTTGAAGGCTTGAACTGCCGTAGTAGGATGGCATTCGATTACCATACTCTTAGTGAGATTAAACCTGGTAAGAAAGGCCTGGAGCCGTTCATCCTTGTGTTGCCGCATCGTGAACAGGCTCGAGATGTCCTTCGGCGGGCGTTTGTTCCCATAGTACTGGCTTATGAACCGATCGCACAGGTCCCTGAAACTGCCAATGGAGCTCCTAGGCAAGTTTTTGAACCAGCTGAGCGCCGGTCCGGCCAAACTTGTAGGGAAGCATTTGCACATTAAAGAGTCGTTTTCCGTGTTCAGGGCCATTTTCAACTGGATATGATACACATGATCGATCGGATCGGTTGTTCCGTCAAACAGAATAAAGACTGGCATAGCAAACTTCCTTGGATGCGGCGCATTCAAGATCTCGTCGGTGAATGGTGAATCCACCGTCCGAGCTGCGGATCGGAGAGCTTCATTCTCTCTCTGGAGTCCGGCGGTAGCTCTGTGAGTTACGGTTCTGCCCTCCGAACCGCGATGAGTGACAGTAACCATGGAGGGCCGGTAAGACGGATCGAACGACCGTTCCTCTATGAACTCTCTCTGCCAAGGCGACGCTACTCGACGGCGATCTACCTCCATCACTTCCTCTCGGTCAAACCTTTCCCGCTGCGGATCAACGTGAGTCGAGCCTTCGTGATCTTCAACTCGACGAACATTTGGCGGCGAATTGTCCATCATCCTTTCATCACGGTGGTGAGCTGACTGATTGTTCTCGTTCTGATCGCCTTGATGCGCGATACTAGATGGAACACCTCCTTCTCCGACCGGAAGCGGATGCGAGACTGCGGGTATTTGCCGATGCTGCAATCCAGCTTTCAATTCTGCATTTTCTTTTCTGAGAGCTTCAATCAAATTCATCAACTCTTCAAGCTTTGTTTGCTGGACAGCCTCCATCGGATTGGAGCTTTCACCTATCATTATTCCCGAACGGAGTAAAGGCATTAATCTCAAGCTCGCGAGTAGATCTAAGCTTCGTGAGTAGGAATTTTTAGATCTGGCTTCTAATTCTCCGAATTATGCTCACTGTTTACAAGATCTGAATTGCCTGGACTCTAAATCCGTCAGATCCTGTCACAATCGAGCAACTCGCGGTTGCGTAGATCTGAAGTCACTCCTGCCAAAGCTTCAAGAATCGTAATTCCTCCAGAGTAGGTCACAATCGCTCAGATCTGGATTCAAATTCGCAAGATCGAGTCTCGATCAACCGAATTGGTTTGAATCCATTCGATCCTCCTCATTGATCAACCAAACTTTTATGCGTTTCCCACAGACGGCGCCAATTGAAGATGCAAGAAACTCCTTCTATTCTTTCTCTCTCTAGAATTCTTACACCTCAACCCGAATCAAGATCCACCTCCTCTTCATTCCAACTCCTATTTATAGATATTTACAAGATATTTACAAGATATTTACTAATTGCTGGACCTGGGCCTATTCCTCAGTAAGCCCTGGTCACTCTTGATGGGCTTACTCCCGCTCGGCCCATATGGCAGTGTCTTTTTATGGGCTGACCCAGCTGTTCGGACTGAAGGTTGTGTTTTGCGAGTCGGACCTGGCCCATGTCATCCAGGGCCTCCTCACCTCCCCTCTTGAACGTGAGCAAGAAGCCAAGTGTTTTAGCTCTGAGGGATTTACCGTCGGACTTGATCCCAGCTGGTAGCCTACTGAGGGCAATAATGGTCCAATTAGAGAAAAGGAGCATGATGATGGCAATTATATCGAGTACAATGGCACCAAGGAGCAAGACATAGGTAATCCCGACATCAAATCCCTGGTATCCCTGCTTGTTCTCGGAACAGAAGATTACGAGGGCTATAACAAGTGAACTGAAGGAAACAAACCTGCAAAAATACCCTAATTTACAATGCACTACTTTGACCTTGGTATACAGAAATTCATACATGAAACTCAGTTCCACCTCTATCACTCTAGAAGCCTGTTCTGGACTAGTTATTCTGAATAACTGTTGGCTTCGGTTGCGCTGATCAATATTCAAAATGGAATCAACAATGAACCCCTTGGAAATATTAAAGTAGTGATAAGCATGTTGTATCATCTGTAACTCGGTCAAAGCACAATTATAGGCCTCTTCATCATCAGATTCGATTTCCTTATCAGGATCTTCATCAATTTGAACTTGTATTTGATTTATTTCATTGTTCATGTATTCGTCCATGATCATAGCAAAGTCAGCCCCAGGGTCAGGATCACGTTGGATGGAGTCCCGTAAACTAACCAAACTTGCCAGATACAGAGAACGTACCCGCTCAGAGTACTTGATAATTCCTACAAAAAACATGAGCATTGTTGGGATATATAGCTTGTTACCTGGTAGTGATTGAAGGAAGAGATACAGAGCAGCTAAAGACTGGACTATGAGGGCAAGCAAGTGCCTGAGCCACAGCTCATTGTCCTCGACAGCAAAAGCAGTTATGGTGTCCGGGCCACCAAGGTGTACCATAAGAAAGGTAGCCCAGAATGCCAGAAGGTCTTCGTTATCGCCTGCTGCACCGGAAGTGTTGCCTTTGGTGTTGGAGATGAGTCCGACGGCAACATTTGCAGCCCAGTCTGCAAGCAAGTATGCCGACCAGAGGGGTATGATTATGGAATTGTTTGGCATTCGCTTTCTCAAGGAGGCAAACAAAGTTAAGAAGGTTTGCAGTAAAAGGCTTAAGATAATGAAGGCTCGGAGATCCCATACATCCCAAAGTTCCTTCCAGAGGAGTTCCACATCCTCCAAAACCATCTTAATTAGATGTTGAGATGATACTGCTCGTAAGTACTACAATTTACAGAAACCCCTTAAAAATGTTCTACTCCCTCTTTCATCTCTTTAGTACTTGAATGAGTCCAATACATACAAATATAATGTAATAATTAAGTTGTATTTGAATTGTCATTTTTGTTTAAGTAATAGTAATTCAAATAGTAAGCTCAATTTAATATTTTTAAAAGGATCAAAAAATTCTATATTTAGATTATCAATGGATTGGAATATGTGTTTAACATTGCTTTTGTATTTTTTAATGAGGAGTGTTCAGTCTGTTCGGAGCAGTGTTTAAGGGACTGTCCGTCCATTAACACTCACCTCTTTGGTTGTTTTAATGTCACTAAATACTTACTCCCTCTGTTTCATAATAGATGCGGGGAGTAGAACTTTTTAAGGGGACATATAATTATTACATTGTCCCCTTTAAAAATTACAAAGTTACCTTTTCAAGTTAATATATATATATATAATCAAGTTTGAATTTTTTTTTAAATTTTAAGGGTATTTTATAGAACGATGTGAAATATGTTGTTCAAATATGATAAGTGGACAAATATTATGGGACAAGCCAAAAAGAAAAGATGGACAACTATTATGGGACGCGGGAGTATTTCTTATTTAAAAACATAATATTTTTAAGACAAAACTATCTTTTTAAATATTTATTTCTCACTTAACTATAGTATCTTTCTAATCCTCTCCATAATTTTATTTCAATTAATTTACAATTATAAAAATTCACATTTAAAGTATATTATGTGTGTGTGCATATATATATATATAAAGAATACATTCACAATCCATAAGGTCGGACATGAAATAGGCCACGTTATCAAAATTCAAATCAAGCTAATGTCACCTTAGATGGGGTGGTTGAGGGATTCTAAGTCTCACTAAAGACAAAACAGGAAGTCTTTATGTTGCACTCCTTACAATCAAAGGGTTTTAGTTCAAACTCCTGACATGGGGAGGTTGAGAGTTCAAGTCTTACTAGAAACACGCAAATATTTAGGTGCGTGTTTGTTTTGACTTTAAAAAAAATAAAAAAATAAATAAAAAACTTAGACTGTGTAATGGTTTTGAGTCTGACCAAAATTAAATAAGATTTATAGATGTAAAAATGTAATAAGGATGTTCTCAATGAGTTTGTGCACAAACTACACAAGGTACTGCTTAATTTTCAGCAATTACTCTAACCTCCCCTGTCAGACCTTGACTGCGCTAATGGAGAGTATGAAATTACTGAGTTGCCCATGTCAAAATGTGAATAACACCTCAAATGAAATGACAAAAAAGCCATTGCATTACAGCCCACTCAAACTACCAAACTTCCCTAACTTGTATGGTCAGATAATCTCTGGTGCAATGGAGGAGCCCAACTAACTTCTCTACCTTGGGTTCAAATAATGATGTTCGGCCCATTTGGCAATCACAGTTATTTTATGCTTTTGTTTTGACCCGAAGTAGAAATAATGTTTTCACTTTAGAGTGTGTTCAATACTATTTCGAAACTTATTTGGTAACGTAAATTTGCTACAAGATTTTTGGAAGCAAAAATGTGAAAACATGTTTGGTAAAAAGTGTTGCAAGTAAGTTTGAAAAATTAAATGGCTAGTTAAAAATTATTAATTTAGAATTTTTTTTTTTTTTTTTTTGAACAGTGCTTTGCTATAGTGCGGAAACAAACAAAAACATCATTTTGATACTTTCGATTTTGGCCTCAATTTTGGAAACATTTCGATACTATTTAGAACAAATGTTATCAAACATGTTTCGTGCTTTTACTTTAATACAGTATACTAACAAAAACAAAAAACACAAAACAAAAATATTAGGCAAACATATAACTCGTGTGAAGCCCAACCCAACTCCATCAGAAAAAAGAAGCCCAACCCAACTAGTGCCTTCAAAAGTTTCATTAGCAATAATTGGGTTATCTAAAAAAACAATTATTGGTTTATCAAAAAATAAAAAAATTGAAGATACCAAAACAACATACTAAAGCCATTCTCACCTTTCAAAAAAAAAAAAAAAAAGGCTTATTTTTTTATTTTTTATTTTTTATTTTTGTAGATGTGGGGCCTGCAATTATATACTGTATTTAACTTTTTTTTTTTTTTTTTTTGTAGATGTGGGGCCTGAAATTATATACTATATTTAAAGATGATATAAAGTTCCCATTTAATAGGATATTCAAGTCATTGGATGCTACTAATCTGCCCAACAGACCTAGGACTCTCAAATCTAATACACAATTGTTTGAGACCCACCTATCATTGTATCGTCTATTGAATCATTGAAATCCTCTCATCAATAATATTGATTCTTTCCAATGCATTAGCAAATATGATGGGCCTAGTTTGATAAATGAGTGGGACCTAGGCCACGTAGGCCCATTATTCAATTACTTAGTTGATATTTTTTTTTTCCTTTTTCTTTTATCTCTTGTAAAGGTCAAACAAACAGGCACCTATAGAATTATCGAGTACGAACACTTAACCTCTCTCTTTGTAAATGAATCACAATGCCACTTGAATTAATGTTAATTAGTAATTTTCACAATTTATATTTGAGAAATTATTAAAAGGTCCTAGATCATTAATATTTGATGGATCATTTAAATACTGATTCTCGGATTGACAAAATGAATTCATAGTAGTGTATTAATAAATTACAAAGTGTACTGATTGAACGGCTTTTATTAAATTAGTCCACCAAATGCTTAATATACCCGAACTATCTAATAATTTCTTAACGTATTGCATCTTTCTATTTCTCTCTCTTGTTTGAGTCCTTTGCTATAAGCCTATAGCCTGTAAAATACACTTAAATCATGTTTCAATAAAATTTAGAATACTTTTGTTTTAAATTTCAACAATAAACTAATGTATTGAAACACAAAAGTCGTGTTCGTGTTTTAACATATTTTTCTGTTTTTTTAAAAAAATTTAAAATAAATATGCTAAAACATATATTTAAGTGCGTGAAAATCTCTCTCTGTGCAACATAATTTTGATATAATTCATGATTCATCGTATAGTTCGATACACGACTCTTTTTCAAATTCGATAAGTGATTCGTATCTGTTAATTTATACTTACTTCGTCCGAATTACACCGCGATCGCAACTAATGCCACGATAGTGAACCAGAACCAATACCGCAAAACTTGGTATGACTACTCTTCTGAGCCTATAGCATCCTTCTTTCTATATGTAGAAGTGTAGAATGACTTTGGCATGACCTAATTCTTTTCAACTTATTACAACTCTCTCTCTCTCTCTAAGCATAATCTTAGAAAATCCTTTTATTTATGAGCATTAAAAGCTCTGTTTAATGTCTTTAATGTGTGAGCGTACGATTAGTGCTCATGACAAGGATTTTACAAGTTACGACCTGTCCAAGAATGCTACATTTTATGGCACGTCACCTTCTCCCATCATGGTTGTCTCACCATGGTGTCAAGAAATAAATTTCATGTCATAAATTGTTATCAATTGTGATTTTTTTTTTTAATTATTATTATTTTTTTGTCATTACAATTGTGAATGGATTTCACATCCGCATATCGTTAGAGGGCTAGGAGTTGGTGAAGGATTAATTCAGGAAACTAAGTGTTTTCGATAATTATATTATTTTTAATTAGTAATATACGTTACGAAAATATTATGTCGTGAAGACATTATATCACAATTAGAGAGGGAAGGGTCAAACGTACTCAATTTACGGTCATTGTATACACGCTATTACTTTCCTTTTTCAGCACGCACACTTTTGTTCACGTGTGTGCTTAAAACCGTCCTCTTTACTTTGAGGATGAGAAAGTTGTACAATTAGACTAAAACCCTTTGATCTATTGATTTATACTAATTACCATGTGTGTGTGTGTATGTATATTGTGGATAAATTACATAATTTATGGGGAGTAAAAAAGATGGAATAGTTGAATGGTGCTACTAGATTTCACTTATCCCAAAAGAGGTATAGCAGTGAATAGTAATGCAAAAGATGCATTTGGTGCTAGGGTTTGGATTGCATTGAGGAGGGTGGGGATGGTTGGGACAAGAAGTGGGGACAGGAAGATCTTAGGGCTATCTTCCCAGAAAAATCACCCTCCCCACTAATTAAGTACCCTACCAAACAGAATCCCATTGTCTGCGCCCTTGAGGTTTAGGGTACACTGTCCTACACTGCCATTTCCACTGTCCTTTTCTTCTGCTAGGATTATGAATAGGGTCCGGCTGCCGACAGAACCACCCCAGTTGAAAGAGGGAACTGTTGTGAGCCATCGGATGCATTAACGTGGGACATAATGTTTAGGTCTTGTGTTTCGTTTGATTCGATGGATAGAAAAATAAATAAAAGAGTGAATGGAATGATGGAGGTGTCTCCCCAAATTTTTTTGTTTGATGGAATGGAATGGTAGAAAAAATTAATGAAGTGATATATATATATATATATTGGTTGAAAGAAAGGGGAAATTTTTTTTTATATTCTTTTTATCAATATACCTTCCTCATCTATTTTAAATTTTTTGAAAATGTTAAAATTATATATTATATATTTGTAGATAGTTATCCCTTCTTTCTCTCCTCTCTTCCCCAACAAAATTTGGTGGATAGAAAAACAAAAGGAAGGAGGGATGCTTCCTCCCTCTCCTCCCTTCCCCAACAAAATACGAAAAAATTCATCCATTCATCCTCTTATTCATTCCCCTTAATCTTTTCCTACAACCAAACATAGCATTCTAGTTTTATAATTTGAGAACCATTTCTCTTATGAGAATACCTCTAAATAATTAAATTGAAGCTAAACAATTTGATGTTCGCTAGGGCTACTCGTTAAATACATTAAACTTTAAAAACTGTGACATTTCATTTCAAAAGTCTTTGAAGCAGATGTTCAAAACCTATCATCATCATTTCTAATTAACAACGACCATGATGAAAGAAAAAATTGAAAACTTACAAAATTGACATGTGTCTCACAAGAGAGGTGTGGGGCCCACTACAGTTGTGTGAGGCACATGACTAGCTATGTATGTTGAGAGCCACACATCTCTTGTATTGTAACCATGGTTTATAGTATCGATCACGGTTGTGATATCAGAAGTAACAGTTTATATGGATAAAGTTAGTATAAATTGGCTTATACGGATTGTGTATTGGACTTGAGAAAGAGTCGCATATCGGCTAATACGCAACGTATCGGACGATACAACAAACCATTTTGAGATAAATTGAACCAGCTAGCAACAGTTTGCAGCCTCACTAATGAATAGCACAGAGTAAAGAGAAGAGACATTGTAGGAGAACAATGTCATTTCATAAGATAGTGGACCTTTTTTATTGAAAGCAAGAAGTCCCAACTATATCTAGTATGCATATATATTCAAAATCTATTTGTATAGATTTGTCTCTACCATGCCATACAAGTGTTAGGCAGGTCCTTGTTACCATGAATTTAATGTTACGTGAAAGAGGAAAAGATATTTCTGCTGATGACAAGGAAAGTGGGTTAGAATTACCTACAGAATATTGTTATATAGAGATTCGAAAGCAACTTAAAATATTGGAGACAGAGACATGGATATTGTCAAGGTGTGTTGTAATTATCAACCCTTTAATTGTGAGAGTCATTTGATATATATTGCCTTTTTTTTCTTCTTTAGATCTAATAGCATAGTAGGTGACAAATTCAAAAGGGTACTGAGAGATGTCATTTGATTTGTGAATTGTAACTTACCGTGATGGTAAGTGGCATCCAATAAATGTTCTCTGATGGGAATTTTTTACTGTTTTGTACAGATCTTGTGTGGTCCTTGTAGTGTCAAATTTTGGAGTGAGTAAGAAATTATTCTCACTTTTCATGGCCATCTAGAAAAGCTAATTGGATATTTTAACTTGAAACAATACCAATCAAATATGTTATTTATTTATTTATTTATTTTTACTTGATACTCACTCACACATCTGCTTGGATTGAATGATTTAGAGGGATACGAAAAGAAAAGAAAACAAAGAAAAATGTGAAGTATGTTTTGAACGAATGTTATATTTTTATAATCCCGAAATTATCCTCAACAATTAAAAGAAAAAATTTGTTACTCCCTATGTGTCATGACACTTGAATCTCATCTTATAAAAGGGTACGATGGTAATTTAATTACTATAATTTATTTTCTATCATAATTTATCCTTACAAAAATGAAAATTATTATTATCATTTCATTTCTTTTATTTTCTCTTATAATTAATGTTATCTTCTTTTTTCTCTCGTGTTTATCCAAACGAAGGTTTAAGAAATTGTTTGCATCCAAGAGAATTCGAACATTAGACTTGATGCTCCTGAGACATCGGGACCAAGTTCCTATCCACTTGAGCCAACTCCCTTCGGTTATTGTGCATTTGATATAAGTGTGGAATCTGATAAAACTGTACATCTTAACTCGAAATTTTTGAAAGGTATTATTGTATTTTTTTCACTTGTTATGTAAAATCAGCATATAACAAAGGCGGTGGTATATATCCCATATTGATTCTGAGATTTTTATAATTATGTTTGCCATTTCATGAACGTAGACTAAGTTTTTACTTGTATTCTCGTTTCATTTTTTTGTTAATTTTCGCAACACGAATTACGAGGGATGTTGTATTTCTTCTTTGAGAAAATGAAAGTGGTGTTGATTCTTTGATGAATCATTTCAGTGAAGTGTTATGGTAATTTGTCTCATGATGACTAGTCAAATTGCAAATTAAACTTGATTAGCAAAATAGTAACCTCAAGTAATTAGTTGGTTCTACATAGAAAATGAAATGTTCTCCAAATTCATCATTTGTTGATGTTTTTCATTACTAGATACATTGGAGTTTTATAAGTAATCATGTCATTCTTTGAAGCATCTACTTATATAATGGAAATGAGTGGTGAGTATGTATGTGGTCTTAGTTGAGAATTATTCAATTGTTGTGATTTATAGATAATTCATCTGTATAGTTAAAATAAATGATTACTTATAAATGCTCTACTTTTTTTGTGTTGCAAAAAATAAAAGAAAAGTTAAATTCTATATTCAATTTACCTCACCTAGGTCCCCCCAATTGTCTGGACCACATTAGCTAATATTAAAGCTTAATTTGTAAGTTCTTTTTTTTTTTTGGTGGGCTCACTTGAATCACTTGTCATGTTAATTCCAAAGCATCAATGTGTCTTGCATGATTATTATTCTTGTTATTATTATTGTATCTTAATCTCAAAATGATTTTTTATCTTTTAAGTGAAATTTTGTTGTCACATTGTAAGAAGAAAAATTATTTATTATTCAAATGTTGGAAAACAAATGAAAGATAAATTCTTTACATTCACACGATGAAATAGAATAGAACCATATATCATTGTTCTTGATAAGAATAGTCAAAACAAGAATCTTCGAATCATGAGATTATTCACCTACCAACTTTTTAATTCTTTTGATATTTATTTCCTCGTCTTAATCGACTAAGGTCACTTTGGATAAGTAAAAAGGTTGTTTTTTGTCAAAAAAAAAAAAAAAAAAATTAAGTCTTTTTTTTCCGTCACAAGCAAAAAAAATATAATAACTTAAAAACATTCAATCATTTTTTTATTATTTTTTATTGTAAAACCAAGAAGCAGTTAATTTTGGAATTAAAATGTAAGATGCCTTCGAGAATGTCCTTTGGAAAAACCCAAGAAGCCCGCGAAATTCCAATACTAAACAGCTTAGGTAGAGAGGAATACATATAAATATATATATATATATATACTTTAACGTCCAAGAGTTTGAACACAATGGAAACGTAGAGTCGCATTCAATCCATTGGACTTTGAGTAGGGATGTAGGACTTTTTGGACTAATTAGTTTTAGACTCGCATAAATCAGTTAAATTTGTCAAACTTTTGAAATCTAAATCTTATTAATAAGATTTAAAATCATTAGAGTTGTAATTTTGATTTCGAAAATCTGACACATTCAATTACATTTATATATTATTGAAAAATTATGCCATCAAGAGGTGTGCAGTGAACATTAAATAAAAATATAAATAGAAAAATTGTCATAAATTATTTGTACTTATTGCAAGCGTTTTGTTGTCCGATTAGTTCGGTTGTTTCCGTATCTAGAAATAAATAGTAAGTGCGCCAGACTGTGTCATGTCATAAATATACCAACAATATTTCATATAAAAAAAAAAAAAAAAAAAAGAAATGATCCACCTACTTGTAAAATTAATGTTAAGCAGATAATATGTTATATATAATTGGATAACTACATTTACGTGTGGCCCATTCAATATATCTAGAGCACTCAAATAAATTATTATTTTTCAATCAGAGAAATATATATATATATATAGTAATTACGTATAGAGAGAGAAAGCCCTGGGATACCCCCATTTAACGTTTTGTTAACTAATTTATTACCATCCTCTCTCTCATACTTATTTAGACTATAAATAAGTTAACAGAAAACAGATCCTCTAACTTATCGAGAAGATTTTGCGTTTCCCTCTTTCCCCCCTCCTCCTCCTTGTGCAGTGCGCCCTCGCCTCGCCCAACTACTCAAAACTTTATCTCTCTAAACTCCTTACTCTTCCTTCGTCTCTCTCTCTCTCTCTAGATTTTCTTTTCCGGTAGACTTTCTTTTCTCCAGCTATTTATACATTGTGTAGGAGTAGCTAGACATTTATAGCTATATATATTACACATATATACAGAGAGAGAGCTTCCTTATTTTCTCTCTCTATACTACATCCACAATGTCGGCTTGCAGAGACGATGATCCTCGCGTCCATGGCATCAAATCTAAAATCCGTGTTGTCCCCAACTTCCCCAAGCCAGGTATGCATTCTCTCTCTCTCTCTCTCTCTATATATATATATTTTCGTTTAATCTCAAGAATAAACCTCATTTGTCTTTGTTTAATCGGTTCGAATTAATCACTTGTTAGTGCTTATTAATGGCCTAATCACAGGGATTATGTTTCAAGACATCACTACGGTCTTACTCGATCCAAAGGCCTTCAAAGACACGATCGACTTGTTCGTCCACCGTTACAAAGGCAAAAACATATCAGTAGTTGCAGGTATATACTAACCTATAGATTGAATCATCAATATGCTGAATGGTCCCTTTTTAAAATAAAATAAAAAAACTCTGTAAATGGTATTAATCTGTGGTGGGCCCTAATCTTCAATAAAAGTAGGTATGAGCAATTATATTTATATATATATAGTATGCTTAAGTGTCTGAGAGAGATTTAAATTGCTTCTGAGGGACATTGTGGAAGTGGCAGTGGGTTTTGGAGTGATATGGAGTTTGACTACAGAGGTTGTTAGTGGGGGCTGTGTTATTGATTACTTTCTGTGAAGATTATGAGCGGCTCAGAGTAGTCTCTGTGGCATGTGGTTCCATCCAATTTGGGTGGATGGTGGTTGGTGATGGATGCCCACCTTGTCCAAAAAAGTTGGACCCACTTGCCTGATGACGGGTTTAGATTAATTAGGCTGGTGTTTGGATCATATTGTGGATTTCACCATGTTGGATGTAGAGGGCAAGTCGTCGGAGGGAGAGGTTGCTAACATTTATATGTGTGGATGCGCCTCTCGTGAGTTGACAATGTCTACACAACAGGGTGGGTGGTGACAGCAAGCCTTCGGTTTAGATGGGTTAAAAGATTAAAGTTCCCTAATCAATCTTATTAATTTGGTTTAAAATGAATTGGGAGATCGAGACTGGTATTTGGAACTAATTTAAGTTTAATTAAGAAGTTGGAAATTGAATTGTGATTAATTTAGAAGGATAATAATTGATCGATTAATTAATCGAAATTGATAGTAATAATTAAAATCAAGCAAAATTTAACCTGAGTTTACTTATTCTACTTGCTTTTTTTTTTTTTTCTTAAAACAAGAAAAAAAAAAAAAATCATGCTTTAAAGATTAATATATACTTTTCTTTATTTCTTTTGTTATATTTCATGATGAATTAGATCAAAATTGGACAACATCTTTACTTTAAACTTTGTGCAGAAGCGGAATTGTGTGTTTCTATATCATAAGGTGCTTTGTGCCCTTGCTTGCTTAGACTCGTTACAAATGCCACTAGTTTTCTTTTTGTTCATAGAGTATAATCAATTTAAGTTTATGTTATATCTGGTGAAATACTTACCAAAAGAAAAAGAAAATCTGGTTTAACTGTACTACTACAGGTACCCCATATGTCATATTCATATATAAGGTTGTCTTTGTTTTGCCAGGAATAGAGGCTAGGGGTTTTATATTTGGTCCTCCTATTGCATTGGCTATAGGAGCAAAGTTTGTGCCCTTGAGAAAGCCAAAGAAGTTGCCTGGTAATTTTCTTCCTTCTATGGTGATTGCTTATTTAAAGTTGTACCGTTACACGTATTCTTTCTTTTATAATCAGCCTGCTATATTACAATCCATCGCATTGCTCTGACTTCCTTTCATTTTGAAACAAATCCATTGTTGCTTTATCATTGCCTTTTAGGTTGCATAGCGAACTAAGTGCTCGAATAGTCCATCAATCCATTGTGCTGCTTATCTGCAGTTATAACTGAAACTGTACTTGGGACTTCTATGATAAGAATATCTTTTATCAGGTGCTGTTTTGTGAGGGTACTTCTGTTGTAAGACGGTTACTATATCCACATGCTACTTGCTCACACATTGCTTTAAGATAGTTACTATATCCACGCTCTACTTGCTTTCTACTCTTGCTCACACATCGATTTGGATTGGAGTGTTGTTTGAAACTGAATTTGCTTTGAATGATTTTTTTTTTCTTTCCTAAATGAACTTTGAATGATTTTGGTGATCTGAATTTGTTTTTTTTTTTTAAATTATTTTTTAAAGAAAATAGAGAGGCAACAATATAGGTGTGCTTATGTGCAAAGGGTTAAACGTATCATAAGTACATGAGGTTTCAATTTTCAAGATAGGGCCGTTAACAGGAATTTGTGCAATTCACATTGATGAAATTCTGTTTTACCTGAAAACACATTTAAGTTGATAGATCATTTGTAATGTTTGGTTTATCAGATCCTAAAGTGTTAAGATGCAGGCAGTTTGATTTTGGAAATTGAAATCTGTTGAGGAAAAGATTCATAAAAAATATTTATGGGTATTATATAGTTTTCGTCAGTTCTTTATACATAAAAATAATTTTGTTTGAGTTACCTGTCATTTACTTATGTGTTTATTTATTTATGTGAGAGCAAGTTACTTTGATTTCGTATAATATGTAACTTCATTATACGATATAAGATCATATACATATATATACATCGGGCAAAACAATCTTAACTTCTCCCTTTACGAATGAAAGTGGATTTTTATCTTTTTACTGTATGTTACAGCAATTTACTTGTTCCAATCTTGCCATTTATTTTCTGGTAAATAGTCTTCCTGATAGAATAAATATTGTGCTGATCTAGAATCTGATTTTGAACTTTCATTTTTCTTCTCATATATATTATATCACATTTAATGCAATTCTATTTTATTGTAATTTTTCCAATTTAAAGGAGGCAAATCATCTTAATGGTCTATTATTGCCTTTTAGTTTCTTGACTTGCCACTGATGCTTGGAAAACTTAAAGGCTTGCTTCACTTTCTGTTTTCTTGACAGAGAAAACATTGTCCACATATTCTGATTTGTGCTTTTTGCAATAAGTTCCTAATTTACTTCATTGAATATTAACTTAGTTTATGTGATGTTCATTTACTCAAATTTCCAATCCATTGAGCCTGGATTGGTCAAATTTTTATGGTGATTGAGCTTGAGTGGGGTTCCAATCGAGCTTGGCTGGTCACTTTTCAGGCATGCTTGAGCTCACATGCCAACCTGATCAATGAAAGATCTGAAGAATGAAGTAGAAGGCTTTGAACCAAGATCCAAATGCTGGAAGATACCCTTGTCGTTGTGTACCAAATACAAATTGATAAATCATAAATTCTTAAAGAGACAAAGCAAAACGCATACTTGAATCTTGTTCTAAAACAGTGAATTTGGGACTTCAGAGAGATTTTAGATGGTTTAAGTAGAGTGCATTGGGTTTTGTATCTTACTGTTGGTTTTTCTTCTTGGAATCTTACTTTTGAAACATCATGGGTATCATGCAGAATCTTCGTTTTAGCTTCTTTCAATTAAATCTGACCATGATGACAGGTGAAGTTATATCGGAAGAGTACATCTTGGAATACGGAAGGGATCGTCTTGAGATGCACATTGGAGCAGTTGAACCCGGTGAACGTGCTTTGGTAGTTGATGATTTGATTGCTACTGGTGGTACTCTCTGTGCGGCTATAAATTTACTGGGTACTTTCTTTGTAGATCTTTTATACTTGCTTGATGATGTGTAATTGTAGAATTGTGCTTCATTTTAAAATAAACAGAACTTTTTTTATCAAAATGTTTTGGTCTATTGAGGAACAAGAATATGTTTGGAGGAAATGCACATTCATGAAAAATGCGAATCTGGTCAGATATTAGCAATTATATGATCATCATCATCGTCATCCTTGAGTTACTCGCAGTCTACTGGGGCCAACCACATGAATTTTTTTCCTCACTCTTTTCTGTTACAAACTGTCTCCTATTACATCAAATTTTTTAAGGTCTTTTCTTCATATTTAATCCATTTTATATTAGCTATTTTATACATGGAAACGAGATGCGCCTGTTTATGAGGATCTATACAATATCATTGGACCTGATGAAGTGCTATGTGGACTAGGACAGATCCTACCTTAACTAAGGGTAATGAATGAAGACGCCAGTCAAGGATAACACGAATGTGACATCGGGTTGAAGTTATTTTGCCTTGCTTGGATTTGGTCATGTTGCTTAAACTATTTAGTTTATAGGTTAGGAGAATAATCAGATTTACCCTATGCATCTTATATACTTTTTTTGTCCCCTAAAGCATCTAGTTTGTGGCTCATGGTCAAAGTAATATAAGATAATGGCTATAATCGCAACTAGAATAAATATCGTGCTAAAATAGTATTGCTGAAACCCATTTTCTTGTAACAGTATGTGTCAACAAGACCATCAATTGTAGGAAATTTGAAACAAATGGCAACAATTATAAATATCATGCAAAAACACATGATAAAAGTGTAACGGCTAAAACCCAATTGTTTCTAACAATATGTTTCAATACTACCCTTCACATGTGGCCTCTGATGAGTGGGACATCGGGGAGCAAATTATATATTATAATGGAGGTGACAGGTCTGAATGCAGGACTTTCCCAATCTGATGATATTTTAACTGAACTGTTTTACGAAATTATGCTCGTCAGTAGGGATTTTAACATCAATTATTATTATAAAGTAAATATCATATGAACCATTTGAACCAGTTTCAATATGCAATCTTCTCTGCTCTTGATGATTCCGATGGTGTCTATACCACTGGTGTAATTGCCTGACAAAGTCCTCATTTCTACAGTTAATAATTTGATATTCTTTAAGTTAGGAGAAAAAAAAGAAAAAAAAAAATACTATACCACTAGTGTAACTGCCTAATATAGTCCTTATATGTACGATTAATGATATCATCGTCTTTGAGTTAGAATAAAAGATGAAAAAGACAAGAAAAAATACATCTTGCTCTAGGATAACACATATTTTCAGGGGAAAAAAAAAAAAAAAACTTAACATTGACGGTTCGCTTGAGAAGATTTCTTGACTGTGACACTCAGCTTCGATATCCAAAACTTTGTCAAGGTGCATGGATCTTTGCGTAATTATTGGTCTTTTCCGGAGAGAGAGATATATATATATATATATATATATATATTTATTTATTTATTTATAAATTGGAAATCAGGTTTATCAATTGACTTGAATTTGTTATTTCTCAGAACGTGTTGGAGCTGAAGTTGTTGAATGTGCTTGTGTAATTGAATTACCAGATCTAGAGGTATGTATGCTTTTTACATTAGGTTTCTTTTTCTTTCCTTAAATGCATTTTCTAAGTCAATGGATTGTCATATGTGGAGACAAACAGATTTTTCATAATTTTGTTGTTCCTTGTTTCTTTTACTAACACTGCTGCTGATTGTCATATGTGTGGAAAAAACAGATTTGTCATAATTTTGTTGTTTCTTTTTTCTTCCACAAATACTGCTGCTTAGTTGCACCTTTCTCAGTCTCTGGATATTTCTCACTTTGATCCCTGTTCACATTTTGATGACAGCAGTCTTTTGGTCTGACGGTTATTTTAGTTAGCTTTTGGCAAACAGCTAAAATGACACCTTACTGTGGATGTTTGGTGAGTTAAGATATATGGACTTCTTGAAAATCCCCAGTCCTTTTGAAGGCGCATCTGATAGAAGCCTCCTTGGCTGGCTTTCCAAAATGACTTGTCATGAACTTGGGCAGAATTTAAGTAGAAAACATTAAAATCAAAACTGTCTGTATAATTTGTCACATGTTTTGTCCATATTATTCCTTCATTCATTAAATTGACAACCCTAATATTTATGTTGTCAAACAAGTGGTGCATTCTTCAAAAAACATGCAAACAGACTTTCAGAATGTCAATTACTGTTGTCATCATCATAATCATCTTCTTGTTAACCTTCTTGGTTTCATCATCATAATCATCTTCTTCGTCAAGTAGAGCATTCTCATTTGAAGCAGAGTTGCAGAGACATCAATCACTGCATTCATCAGCATCATCATCTTCCTCCGTTTCTTTTCTTAACCTTCTTTGGTTAATAAAAGTAAGAAAAAGTGAAAAGTTTAGAATTGTCAGCATATTTTTATAAAATCTTTTAGGTCAAATCTGTCTTTATCGGAGTTGGAATTATGATCAAATTCCATATGTTCCTGGGTTCTTTTAGAGTTGGGACCTATATTAGGTTGGATTACCGTACAGGGTATGGCTGCACCAAAGTTTGTCTAGAAGTCAACATAGCTGGTTAGAATGATTAGTGAATGTTAAGCTGCAGACTATATATTTTATGAGATTTGGTTGTGAAATCCAATTTTTATGTTCACCTCTCCAAAAGGTTTCATATTTGAGCACAAAAATCTGCCTATGTACTCGCTAAATCAAGGCAATGTGAAAATTAATGCTGGGAGTGGACTGTGAATTATTAGCATGTTGATATTCTTCTTTTTTTTTTCCTGCAATTCTTGATGTTTGTTTTCTCAATTGCTGTTTGGGTTATAAATTGGATGTATATGTTTCTTTGAGTTTAATTCTAGAATGAGCATACAAGGAAGAAGATTTGTTTGCCACTTATGTGCTGTATAGGCAATGACATCCCCCTGTCTCTGTTGCCTAAGAGAATTGTAGTTGATCACACCTATGATACATGGATTCTACTAAATGTGTGAAATATCCTTGTTAGAAATATGACACTTGTAGTATGGGATACTGTGTCTGGCTGGACATGCACTTAGCAACCATACATGATATTCAGGTCATATAAATGTATATGATACTCATATTATGTTTGTTTTGGTGTGTTATTGTTTCGAAGTGAGTGACGTGTCCATGTTGAACCTTATGCGTTACATAAATGTTCCTTCTACTCTAAAAACTAAAGAAAAATGTTCAGAAAATGGATGTTTAGAGTTAGAGAATTTCATAAATCTTGGTCCTAAATACGTACTTGTACCAACGCATGTACTGAGTTTATATATCATGTGTACTGAGTTTATGTAACATGCTCACACAAAGTCTAAGTTGAGCCTCGTTTAAAGGAAACCCTAATACCTTGTGGCTGTGCATATCTTCAACTACATCATCCTTGTTTCAGCAAAAAGGACAAAAAGAAAAAAAATAAAGTTACTTCATCCTTCTCTCTCTCTCTCTTTTTTTTTTTTTTTGTCAGCAGCTAGCCCACTCTTTATTTCTTTTGGAACGTAAAGCCTCTCATGTTGCGAATATCACTTTTAATGTGCTTAATTGATGATTAGCTGTACCACTTGGCATTAGCACTGTTTATGGTCATTTTCTTATTACAGAACAACCATTTTGCACCATGGGAGAAAAAAGTTGGTTAAAAAAATATTCTTTCTTTTCATTTGAAAAGGTTCTTCTGTCTTTCCCGAGGTTGAACAACTTTCCTATGTCTCGACTCCAAAAATATTATTGCTCCTCTAGGATTTTTGTTTTTTTGAATTTGTGGTTTTCTGGTTAACTTACAGTTTGTTATACATTATAATCATCTTTTTCTCCATGATGGCACCATTCTGTTGCTTTAGATTGACCAATTAAATTCACATCATCTCGATTGATTTTCTTTCCAGAATTGAATTTTTCTTGAATGATGCAGGGCCGTGCACGATTGAATGGGAAGCCGTTATTTGTACTTGTGGAGTCTCACTAGCAGTGGCAGATGATACATTTCTGTTGCCATGCTGGAGCAGGCAACTGTACATTAGAGGGCCATTATTTGCTTCGTCTCACCTGGAGTCTTCTTTCATATATCTCCCCGTTTATGTGAGTAGTGAATTTTGAAAGACCATGGTGGTTGAGAGATCCTTTGTTTCCGATTAGCGTAGAAACATTGAATTTATTATGCAAAAGGGCTTCAGAAAATGCTTGTAGGAATTCTTTTTCTCATTTTTCACTGCAATGTGGTTGTAGTTAACCTTGTGCTTTTGTTCCAATCTTTGGCCTTGGCCTTACATGAATGTTTCACCCTTGGCCAAATTTTATGGACCTCAACAGCAGATACCAACTACCTATCATTAATTTAGGTGTATTTTAATGGTGAAATGATGCCAATGTTACCATGTTATATGCACATTATTTATGCATGTTCAGATATTAAAATTTTCTTGTATATCAGCAGGCACCAAGTATCTGTGAGGTAGATGATTGAGAAATTATTACATGGTTTGTGATGACGTTTAAGTAAAAAGTTGAATAAAGTTGACTTTTATTTGTTGTCACTGTCAGCTATTGATTTGCGGAGACCATATAATAATTTGTCGAAGATTGAGATGTCAAATGTGACAACTGATAATTCAGGTTCTGCAATAAGCATTTTTATGCGTACACCATAAATTGAAAAGATGCTTTCAGTAACAAATTTATTATTTTAAAAAAATGTAAATGTTACTATACAATGTTGTATACTTGTATGTTTTATTTAAGCAGTGCATACAAATTACAATAATGATACTTAGGCCCGACTCTTCGATAGAGTAGTTAGGCCAAAACATATGCATCTATAGGATCCCATTTTTGGGTCCCACCATATGCACACACTCTTTGAATACCATTATATGCATCATTACATCCTACATACTAGTGCATACGCATGTAGTTCTACTTCGTGGAAGAGTTGGGTTTATAATATTTTATAAGATAATACACGTTTATGAGTGTTTTATATTTTTTTATTGTGCCCATATTGAATAATCTTACCATAAAAGATCAGATCAAAGAGACTAAAACGAATTAAATGAGATCATATGTGTTATTAGAAATTATAGTTCAAGTTGATCAAATTTGGTCAAAATGCAAAATTATTGAGAAAAATAAAAGTTTAATTGAACTTGTTTATGAATAAGGAACTTTTTATGAATCAAGAAAGTTTTGGGTGTGTTTGGCATACCAAGTCGTTGGTATGTCCAACTAATCACAATGCATAATTCAAGAAAACGAATCCCATCAATTTATGAAAACCGTCAACAACTAACTCAATTTATTTAAATTATGCAGTGTAATTGATTGGACATCTCAGCGTACCCTAAGCCTACTCTTACGGACCCTAGACCTATTCTTAGGTACAGTCCTCATCAGTTGGTCAAATTTCCAAGAAGAATCCAAATGTCCATATTCAATACAGGGTATGAAATCTTTATACACCACATACTCTATCTATCTAGCATATTTGAAATTCAATTTAATTTGGTTATATACAACAAAGACCTCTAGATACACCAAACTAATTCCTTTGTAACATAGCAAAATAATGAAATTGACATAAAAAAACATAAAGCAAGAGAAAATTTATGGTTTGATGAGTTGGTGAAAAATGAGGTAGTACACAAGTAGTAATTGAATTTGAAATGAATACCCACAAAAATCCTAGTTTGATGAGGTTGCGAAGTGGGCATCAAAGAAAGTGACCATAGACCATCCATTAATGGGCCTTGGTGTTTTCTCCTAAGAAAAGCAAAGTCATCCATCTAACTGCGTTAATTGCGCCATACATTTTCATTATGGGCCCAACTCCTACTTACTTGGCTGTTACCAATACCTGCATTCTTTTTTTCCTTTTTAAAAAAAAAAAAAAAAAAAATTATTATTATTATTTTTTATTCAATCTGAAGTTGGATAAAAAAATGTTTCAACCTAAGGGTGGTCAGATCTTGGTGGGGGTATTTTTTGGCAAAAATTCAAAAAACAACCACTCTAGCTTAGTTAAGGGGTTATTGTCAAAAAATAAAAATAAAAATAGTTGAGGGGTTTTTTTGGCCAAAAAAAAAAAAAAAAAAAGAAGTAAAAGGGGTTTACTGCAAAAAGGTAAAAGTCAAGAGAGGTTAAATGTAATTTACCCTTATTTTTATCAAAAAGGGCAGAGCAAAATAAGATGAAAGAGAAAGGATTTCTTTCATATTCCATTCCCGTGTCATTTTAGCATGTGTTGTATCCTACGTTATTACATCGTTTAGCCAACAACTTCTCTTTCGTGTATCTATTACACTACGATGTACATCATATGCCGTATCCTACGTTATTATATCGCTTATCTAATAACTTCTCTTTCGTATATCTATTACACTACAATATACATCATGTGCCGTATCCTACATTATTACATCGCTTAGCCAACAACTTCTCTTTCGTGTATTTATTACACTACGATGTACATCAAATGCCGTATCCTACGTTATTACATCATTTATCCACATCTTCTCTTTCGTGTATCTATTACACTACAATGTACAATGTAGTGCTTTGCAATAGTGACACAGCTACAGGACACATGATTTGGATTCTTTCATGATCAATTTTCAGTATTTGTCAGTTTGCAACACGCATACCATTTTTACCCAAGCTACGAGCAACTTACAGCTCATGAGTGTGGTCTCTTTCTCCATTTTGGATCCATTGCTTTTTTGGATTTACAAAGTTAGCTGAGAAATACCTTCCCAATGTAAAAAAATTTAAAGCATTGCCATTTGAGGTATGTGTGTTGCAAACTTTTGATCTTAGTGAAATGGCAAAAACTCATGCTGAGTTTGAGGAAATCAATCATATTTGAGTTTGAAATAGTTTAACTTTTTCAAATTAATGTCAAAAGTTTCAATTTTATAGTCAGCTTTGCAATGTACCATCTTCACCCAAGCTCCAAGCAATTATGGCCCATAAGTGGTTGCTTTGTCAATTTTGGACTCATGACTTGTTGCACTAGTTTTTGGATTGACAAAAGAATTTAAGACATACCTGTCCAATATCAAAACTTTTGATTTTGATTAGTATTAGAGATGAATGTTTACTCCGATGGTAAAAAAAATTAACTCGAGCTAAGAGTAATATTAGACTCTCCACATTTGTAAGCATAGAGATCTCCGTCAGCTTAACTCTCTATATTTGTGACTAGTCTAGTCAATAAGTATGGTGCTGGTGGGTTGGCTCCTTTTGTATATATTTTAATTTGACGAGCTTTGCACCACTGCATTTTGCTCACCACAACCAACTTCACTCGCGTAAATAAACATCATACTCGATGCTCTAACAAGGGGATCGAATCCTGTCCAATGGAACACTATGACCTATTCCGTCCAATTCGAGATATACCTTACAAATATTTTAACTTTTTTTGTAAAGTGCATCACAAACTGGACGGAACAAGATGTATTGCTCACAGGAGGATATTTTCTTCCTTAATAAGGATGGAGATAAATGACGCAGATATCATATCTTACCTTTGAAATAAAAAGTCCGCAATTCAAGACCCCCTTACGGAAACATTTGGATGTGTTAGTTTCTTATCTAGATTTACATTTGAAATATATAATGTGTGTGTGTGTGGAGCCACATGTTCAAATTAAGAGGCAGTCACGCCATACAAAGTAGTCAAAGTAGTATCAAAATTTAAAACCATCTTCAATCTTCTCACGCATGCATACCTTGGGCCTGAAAACACTATTGATTTTTGGTTCTTAAGATTTGTTTGGTTGATGAGAAAATAGAACTTTTGTTTGACTGGAATTGTTCAATAAGGTAAGATGTCCATGTAAAGTAGGAATTGCATGTCAACCTCAACAAGTTGAAGTTAGGTACACATTGAGTAATCAATTTATGTGTTCTTCAATCTCCAGTAAGAGCCTTTCAATGGGTTGGTTGTATATATATTATGATGGAGACTCTAATAATTACTAGAATATGGTTGTTGGGTTATTTGCAAGTCATTCATATCACTGAAACAGAAACCATGGCGTAATATTAAGTTTTTTTCTACTAAAATCATTGGCTATATAATAGAATCTTCAACGGCTGTGCACGCGGACCAGAAATATATTTTGGAGCTAATATATTTTGGATGGACTAGCACTACTATTATTTTTATTTTTTGAACTGGGCTATAGTTAAAAAAATTAAAAAAAAAATAAAATTCTTTTTTTTGGGGGTGCTCGAGCCCCCTTGGATGGGCCAACTTGTGTGTGTATATATATATATATTTTTGTGTAAATCTGATATGTCATAGTAGATTTATACAAAAATTTTAAATTATTTATTTTTAATTCTACCGATTGTTTTATTTATACTTTTGTGTAAAAATATATCTTACAATAACAACCAACTAGTTTGATGCCTCAACTCCACATAATTTTTACAAACCTATTTTACACGTGGCTATATATCTTAACATACCGCTGAAAAAAAAAAAAAAAAAAATACAAAAAGAGTGTTTTAACATAATGTTGGAGATACTCTTAAGGGTGTGTGTGTGTAAATGTATATCTATTTTTGTGTATGTGTGTATATATATACATATATGTACACTGTATAATGAAACACTATGTGGCCAAATGTAAGTCAACTGTAGAATCAAACTGTGGAATCGCTTTAGTTTCCTTTGATTCAGTTAGTCTTCAATTCATATTCATATATATATATATTTATAGCATGATTACTGTTTCAAAATAGCACAGGGAATTTACATTTATTCCTATTTATAAGAATTACTTCTACTGATTTTCAGGGAATTTACATTTATTATTATTTATAAGGATTACTTCTACTGATTTCCAGCCAATGGTATTATATATATCAAAATCTTCACCAGCTAAAATAATACTAATAATAAAATAAATAAATTTTCACTGGAAATTTTTCTTGTCCCATATTTGTATGTAGATGACAGGTTATATATTTAAATTTGATTTTCTCAGACACAATTCATATCTTATCCATTTAATTCAATTTTTTTGGAATGGGATTTGAATCTAAGGTTTACTCAATCCATTTCATACATATTTATATATTCATCATATCTAATCCGTTTTTAAATTCAAATTTAAAAGTGAATACATATAATATCAGTTCAAATACGTAGTATAATATATTTCATACTAAATCAGTACTGAAATTATCATTCAAGTGTACTACAAAATTATAATGAACTATAAAAATAAATTATTATTCGAAGTAAATTCTAAAAATTAAGATGATGAAATAAAAAGGTTAGACACGCACACCCATTCGGGGAGTTAGATACCCTACCAACTTAGATTAGACTAGATCAAACCACTGATGTCTTTAAACTTCTATGACACAAAATACCTTCCTGAATCCTTGAAATTAGTCGGGTGACGCCTCGGATATCCGGGTCATCTAAAAATAATAATAATAAATAAATAAATGGCAAATTAACTGTGATATGATATTTAAAAGGAAAACAAATAAGAACAATGAAAAATAACCCCAAAAAAAAAAAAAAAATGGTAAACATAACATTTATCAACCCAATTTTCTATAATTACAACCCAAAAAAAGAGAGCAAAGCAGAAAGAAAATCGGAATTGATAAATGCAAGTAGAGTTCTTACTTCTTCCAAGGTTTTTTTTACAATTTGTAGATGATAAGAAAACAAGGCAATACCGCACGTGAATCGAACACCAACAACTCGCTGCTATCCCCACTCACCGAGTCATATCCGACTCGGTCCTCCAACATCGAGTCGAAACCGAGTTGATTGCATACCCGACCTGCTATGACCCGGCAGACCAACATCGCCCTCCTCCCCCTCCCACCACCCGCATTCTCGTGGGCCCCACCGCTCCCGGCGAACGTGCATATCGCGGCCCCACCCTTCCCACCGTGAAACGCCCACGCGCCGCCTCCTGCGTCGTACACCCCTGCGTTGGTGGGCCCCAAGCAATGAAACCTCATTACCTCGTTCCCATCCGCAACACACCGCGCGTGGTCTTCACAGCCACCGTCCACGGCTGCGCCACCCCCGGAACCAGCTCTGGACTTGACCACCTCTCTGTATTCCTCAAACCTGGTCACGGTTCGGGTCAAGTTCTGTACCTTGAACACCATTTCGATCCGGCCGGAAAATGCTTTCGGCGACCAGCTGGTGTGGAAGATTATCTCGACGACATTGCGTGAAGGGTGGCCCTCCGGCAGCTCAGTGAGAGATGGAAGGAATGGGTCTGGGGCACGTGAACGGCGCGTGGAGGTGCTTGGTCGGACCCGATGGGGCTGATGGGCAGGCATGGTTTCGGGTTTTCTGGAACTGGGTTGTTTCTGTAACGCCGGCGGTGGCGGTTTGAATTTTCTGGGCAGCGGTGGAGGTGGTGGTGGTTTTGGTTTTCTGGGTTTGTGTTTGGCGGCTTCGACGACGTCTTTGAGGTTTTGAACGCTCTGTCTGCAACTTGAACCGGTGGGTATGAGGTGGTGGAAGTGAACGACGTCGTCTTGTGCTCTTGATTTGCACTGTAACGACTTGACCCAACCAGTCGCCATTAACGACGACAATGTGACCCTTGGCGTTTCCACAGAGCTCCCTTTCTCTCTGAAATGTTTTCTCTCTCTACCTGGACTCACTTTCTCTCTCTATAAATATACATGATTTGATTTGTTTGGACTCAGAGATTATTAACCCCTCTTTCTCTCGTAGCTGTGAAAGAATGGAATGGGAGGGACATGGCGCGATAATAAATGGGTCTAATACTACTGTGTGTATATGGATTTGGATTACCGAAATTGCCCTTTTGAAATGTCACAAATTACACATTGTGGACCTCTGTTGTTATGGCTTGTCTCTTTCAGGTGAGAGAAACAAGTCGTTATGAAAAAACAAATAACATTGATTTTAAGGATACAAGAAATAATCAATGGCATTCGTTGGGATCTTCTGCGGCAAATTATGTTATCTCAAGGGCGATGTTCCCGATGGTTGAATGTGGTGATGGGACTCAATTGATGAATGATCCAATTATTTAAAGTTTCTGGGATACACCACACCCGGGGTATTGTAAATTTTTTCGTATATAAGGGCAAATTTATATAGAGTGCTTTTTTAATAATTTCAGTGGGGATTTTTTCAAAATTTTATAATAAATATAAAAAAGTATAAATTTAAAGATATAAAATATAATAATAAAAAATTTCAGTGGGGACGCATGCCCCACTGAGCTCTTCACAGATCCATCCCTGGCCTCAAGCATGAACAATATCATAAACGAATTTTTTTTTATTTTATTTTAATTAGAAGAATTTATTATTTAAAAAAAATTATTTTTACTATAACAACTATGGAATTTAATGTAGGAAATGTGGATTTTATCCTTCCTAACAAGTGTGTTTTTCTTGTGTACTATGAAAAAAATTACCTTTCCTTTTAAATAAGGTATTGCTTAGTACTTGTTTGATTTATTTTGTTCTACTTTATTTTGCTTTTAGGGTGTTTGGAAGTCTTTTTATTTAGTTACTTTAAAAGCAGTTTCAATATATATATATATATTTCCACAGCTTAAAATCAAAGGTAAAAGGTTGTGTGTCTGATTACAATCTTTTAAAAGATTAAAATAAACATTATTTTAAAAGTTATTCTAGGTTTATATAGGGTTTTATAGATTCTTATGTTGGCATATTTAACTGCATCCAGAGATGCATACGCATATAAATGCGTATATACTGGCATTTTATACTTGTTAATTATATTTGCGTCACAACGTATATGCTGGCATTTTATACTTGTTAATTACATTTGCGTCGCAAAATACCTTTACAACCTCAATTTGTCTATAGAAGTCATAACCATTTTAATACAATTATAAAAATTAAGTGTTGACATTAAGCAAATGGTGAGATGAATAAAAAATATTTAATTGTTTATATAAGAATGTGTTACGTGTAGGTGTGTACATGCATTTAGAAGTGCAAATGGAAGCACATTTATAAAACTTCAAGCATATACAACTATACAAGTAATATAAATATAAGCATATACAGCAGTGGATATAATTATTGATTCATTAACAAATATATCTATATATATTATATATGTACATATATCTCCCACGGAATTTTGAAACACTAAGAAACGAGACCTTTATCAGTAGTAAATTTCGAAATATTAAAAAAAGAACGAAAAAAGAGGTGTGGAAGGAAAATAAAAAAGAAGAAACAAATTTATTTTGTTCGGAGATGATATAAGGACAATAAGAAGGATGGTATGGATGGAAGATAGGAGAGAAGACAAGTGTGACCGTATTATAGAAGTTTTAAATTATTACATTACCCTTTGTAAATATTTAATAAATCCCACAAATAAAGTAAATGATTGGTTTAATGGTAAAAACAATTTAAAAAATTATCTTTCATTTTATCCTATTGATAAAATTAAATTGTTTATCTTTTCCATTCTCTTTTATCCAACTGAATAAAAAGAAGAAAAAACTTAATCTCTTTTCTAAAAATATCTCAGTCATTCCTTCTTCTCTCCCTTCTATTCAAATTTTTTTTTTTCCTTCCTACAGAAAGGAAGTGCAAATCAAATGCTACTTTACTTTTTTGTTTTTTTCTAATTAATGAACAGAATTGTATTTAAGAATGTTCCCTACATCTCTTTAATATCTACTTATAATTCTTTAAAAACAATTAATTCCAAAATGTGTAACTATATGTGACCCCATATACCTAGAATTCGTACGTATTAGGTTGGTGCTTTAATTATAAAAAAATTATTTATAATTTTTATTAAAATTTAAAAAATGCGTCCACTCGATTTTTATAATACCCCATTATATATTCTTGTCATTCAAAGTTGCGCCTCTCATACAATTTTTTGAGTACATTACTGTCGTCACAGAAATGTTTCTCCCAATCAAGAGTAAAAAATAAATATAATAAAGATAACGAAACAAAAAGTAGATTCAACAATATGTAAAAGCATTGAAAGAACTTTATTGACTCTTTTAACTTCTGCATCTAAAAACCTTGGGCTAGCATTTGTTAATTAACACTAGTGTTCATCAACCACTGATCTTTCACTTCAAGAGACTAATAAAGTCTATTTATTTGCATTGAAGTCATCTAAACAGGCTGGTTGGTGTATATATATACACACACACACACACTTAAATCAATGAAGGCATTAATCTTTAATAAATTAAAAGTCTCATTCTTTCAACTAACTAAAATGGACAGTTCATACCTGAATTTGTTGTTCCTTTGAAACCAAGTGAAATTTTGCTTGTCACAGTCTTCTTGTTCAGCTTGCAATTTCAACTCAACAGGAAGCACTTTAGGCAACAATTTTTTGTTTTTGTTTTTTTCCTCCCACCCCCTTTCTTTCATTATTTTGGTTTAGTAGTCCCTAACTAACGCGGCGGATTGATCCTTTATGCTTTTCCCGAGCTGTAAAAGTGTGATTTTATATAGACCTTCCAAATGAGTCTCGTAAATGTGTTCAATCATTTGAATACATGATTGAAACTTCAAATTTGAGATAGTAGAATTTGGGAGAAATATACAATACTCCGGGTAACGGTTATTGATCGAGTACCCCAACTTAATCAAAACGTATTGGATGTTATCCGGGTATCGATTAACTTCTTGTAGAATTAGATGTAGACATCTCTATGAAAGTGTGAAAAAAATTAGTATAATATAAATTGGTAGACTTAGATGGTTTGAACATATGTATATATTAGACATAATAATGCAATAGTGAAAAACGGAGATGATTAGTTGTAACAGAAGGTAAGAGATGAAGAGGACAACCAAAAATAAAATTCATATGGCTGACCTCGTTCATATGCGATTAGAGTAAAGGATGAAGAATCATATTTCTAATATAAGAAGTTGGATAAAATCATTATCACATGTATTGCATTAATTAAAATGCCTTTTAAAATTTTGATGAATAAATTTAAATAAATTAATTTAATTAAATAGATTTATTGAAAATACCAATAGTCAGATGCAAATGAATGTCATTGATTTTGTTGATAATTGAAACTATTCAGAAACAAGCATATACATGTTATATATTTAAAACTTTATTCATCAAGGGATATGTTCCCATTTATAGTAAGAGTGCGAAAACAATAAAATCTAAATCTTACAAAGTGAGAATGGAAACAATAGCACATTCGGAACAGGAACATGAGAACAACACCCATTGAAAAAAATTATATGACATAGGTATGACTCAAAATAATTAAATTTCAACAACATCTATATTTTCAAAAAGGCCAGGCAAAGGCCAACAGAAAGCAGAAACCAAAGTATAGAGAGGTGGGATAGATAGAAGAGGTTTTTAGTAAATTACACAACAAACGAAGGGTATTTCTGGTACTTCAGTAGGAGGTTAATTTAAAATTAAGGGTGGGCTACAAGTGTATGTATAAGTATAGGTCAGATATATATAATTATATAAATCCAAACTATAGGATATGCTTTTTAAAAGAGAGCATGTAGGAGGGAAAGCATGAGGTGGAATCTTTTATTGGAGTTTGAAATACAACAGGTGGGAATAGAATAGAAGAATAGAAACTGGCACACAAAGCATCTAAACAAGAAACAAAAAAAAAAAGGCTCTGAAATTTAAACTAGTACTTGTAAAACGACAAGTTTTCTAACATTTTTTAAAACTTTTAATTAAATTTAATTTAATTCAATAGACCTGTATTGCAAGCATTACTGGTAGTGAGTCACTATTCACACAAAGTTTGGTGTTTATTGGGACAATTGCTGGTAGTTTCACTAGGAGGAGACCACAGCATTGAGATGTGCAACGTGTAATCAATGCTCCAAACGACCCACTAGAGCACTGAATCAAACCACACCAAAACAAAAAGGGTCGACCACTTGAGGATTCATGAAATTACATGGCCACCCCTGTTGGGTAATGTAGTACCAAAAATTTGAATTGGAGTGTTAAGGCTTTGTTTGGGAATATCAAAAGTAAGCCCTACCTAAGTTTTCTTTTTGTAAGCTGAAAAACTAACATTGAGCTGGCTTTAAATAGTTCTGCCTTTCTATGCACATCAAACTAAAAAATAAAAACAAAATAAAAAAATAAACAAACAATAATTGGCTGCCCATTTATAGACCCGTGTCATTTTATCATTATATTACGTCAGTAATGTGGAGAAGTTCTTATCCAGCAATATTGTTTAAAAGTTTATTTTAGTGATTGTCACATTAGTCGATAACAATAGAATAATAAATTTGTCTTACAACTCAGGTGAGTTGAAGAGTCAACTTTAAATCTCCAGATATAAAATTCTCGAACTTAAAAGATCAAGTCTAGCAAGTTTGTAAAACTAATGTTGGATTTACATGGACTTGTACGATTTGCAACCCTAATCAATCTTAAACTCAATTAACCTGTTTTTGGATCTTCCAAACAAGTATTTGTGTGTGTGTTGGAGGGTGGGGACTGTGAGGGAAGGGGGGGTGGAGTTGTGCCAGCCTTTGGCCTCACGCCTGCTGCAATTAAAATCCAATGGAGCCCCGGGAATGGTGTTATTTCGTATCTGGGGCGTGCTACAGTTAGGACCCCCATATTTCCACCTTTTTTTTTCGGTTCACTTTTTTACATTCCTTTTGTGTTCTTTATTTATTGAACCTAATGCCTCAGACACCCACACGAAAACTTATGTGTTACATAAAAATGCACACAAAGCACGATTGTGAAAACCTGTTG